TTCGTGCTGAAGCGGCAGGAGGACCTCCTCCAGAAGTATGGCGATCAGCGGCGCATTGACCATCACCCGAAAGCGCAGGACAAGGAGATATTGCAGATGTCAGCGCTAGTGGAGTCGCTGTACTTTATGAGCTCGTGCAACGAGCCCATGGACGCTTGGATTCGGCTTGTGCGCTATCTCGCGAAGAAGGTGCCCGTCTTTCCAGAGCAGGGCTACGGCACGTACTACAACACGTAAGCATCTTGCTTTAATCACCGCATGAGTTGGTTCCCCCTCTTGCACAGTTGCTAACTGCCTCTGGTTTTTTTTTTTTTTTTTAACAGGTACGGCTTCGGAGAGTTAACACAAGCAATTTCCGCATGGCTCCAAACAACACAGCTGGATCACCTTCTGACAAGCCCCTTCATCGGGATCACACTGGACGAGAGCACAGACCGGAGGCGCGGCAAACACATGATCGTGTTTGCAACCTTCCTGCGCGACAAACAAGTTGTGACCGAGTTCTTTGCTCACCTCACGGTTGAGAAAGCTGACGCTGCTTCCCTCTATAGTTTGCTACTCTCCCACATCAAGGTTGTCGGCGTGGACCTTCGCCGGATTTCGGGAGTGAGCACGGACGGCGCGATGGTGATGGTGGGGGCCCACAACGATGTGGTGGCTCGTCTTCGGATGCTCGTCCCCAACCTGGTTTCGTTCCACTGCATCGCTCACAGGTGTGTTGTTGTTGTTTCAGTTTGTATAGCCGATTTACAGTTATATGCGATGCTAAGCCTGTTTGTTTGTACGTGTGGCAGGGAGGCTTTGGCTGCTAAAGCCGCTGCAGAGTCCATACCCACCTTCAGCATGGTCGACGACATCATCCGCGCCGTCGCTGAGTACTTGGGGCGATCTTCACCGTGGCATCAGCGGTTCATGGAGCTGCAGAAGGTGTTTACCTCCACCAACCTCGAGGTGCAGGGGATCCACGAGGTGCGGTGGCTTTCAAGGGGTGCTGCGGTCGCACGCTTCGTCGAGGTCCTCCCAGCCATCATGGTGATGCTGTCGGAGTGGAAGGACAAGACGATGTACGAGCTCGTCACGTCCTACCGGTTTCAGTTTCTGCTCCGATTCCTCGCGGACGTTCTGGACCTCCTCAACATCCTGTCGAAGGTTTTCCAGCATCGTGAGGTAAGAACGTTTATTACTCGTGTGGTTTTCTTTTAACCGGAAGCCGTGCTCTTACTAAAACTTCCTGTTGATGTGGCAGCTCGACTACCCACTGGTGCACACACAGATTGTGCGCACAACATCTCTCCTGAAGAGTCGGTACATCGACTGCGGAGATGACTTCGGCGGCGGGCCTAACGAGCGGCTTCATCGATTCATCGAGAAGCATGGGCCGAAGGGGACACCGGAGATGGTGGTGGAAGGCGCGTCATCGGATGGGAGTCTCAATCGCTTCAAGATCACCCTTCACGAGCGCCGAGTGGCGAACCATCACGATGCGTGTGTGGCGCTCTGCACCGACTTTGCCGAGGGCCTTGTCGAAGAGCTTTAGTCTAAGCTCGGCGACCTCGACTCTCTTTCTGGCGTGCGGCTTTTCATACCCGAGGAGTGGCCTTCGAATTGGGAGAGGAGCGCATGGCAGGCACAGTGTCTTGAGTGGCTGTTATCGCTAGTCACTCTGTTCCGCGCGCCGACGACTGTGACGAGATTTTGCCAGGTCAGTTGAACATGTGATGCTCGTTCGCCTGTTTGTTATTCCGTCCGTTACTAATCCCTAGCCTCGTCTAATGATCCAGGCATTGGCAAGAAGCGTGCCGTGAAGGAGCTGCGGACTCTGTGCCCAGTCATGGCCAGAGCTCCCAAGAGCGAGCGCAAGTTCAACACTGGATTGACCGCAATCCTCAAGACACCTGACTGGGAGCAAGTCTACCCCAACCTCGTCAGACTCTGGGTGGCGATTGCAGTGCTGCCTCTCAGCACCGTCGAGTGCGAGAGAGGATTCTCACGCCAGAATCTCATCAAGATGTGGCAGAGGGGTAGCTTGAAAGACTGTAGGCTCAGTGACTTGCTGTGTATGTCCATGCTAGACTATGAGCTGGACGTGCCGGGGGTAGTAGAGATCTGGCGCAGCTATAAGAAGCGCCAGCCAGTGACGGCACCTGCTGCAAGACACAGGGAGCCCCAGAGAGCTGGGAAGGAGGCTGTAGAGGAGCCAGTAGTTAAGTCGGCAGTTGTAGAGTCACATGTGACAGAATCTGACTCAGATAGTTGAAATGTTTTCTTGTGCAGTATAAAAAAACGGCAGCCTACAAAATTAGTGACACACTGAACTTTCAGCCAAAAAAAAATACTGTTGTCTGAACTTTCAGACTAAAAATCGCATGCAACTCTGACTCACAGAGTTCAAATGAGGGTGCACTCTGACCCGTCAGTGTGTCCTAAAACGAATCTAGGGCCCTGCTCACCATCACTAGCACAAACGAAAGCATGGTACACGAATGAAATTGTGATACACACATGAAGTGACGTGTTGGAGAATACTGAGTACCTGCATGGTCAAATGTGGAGTGCAATGGGGTGGGGAAGGGTTGTACCCGGTAACTGGGTTACGGTACATCTAGGGCATCACAACAATGTACCACACCCGTCGACACTCGGATATGAAGAAGTAGCATTCACTTGTCACTAACATCTTCTATCCGTACGGTACTCCCCTTCCCCCTTCTCCCCTCCCCTCCCCCTTCTCCCCTCCCCCTCCCCAAATTTTTTACCCGATCCACCAGCCATAGCCCCTACCCCCTCCCCAAAATAATGGCCAGTTCTGAAAAGTGGCCCAATCCAGCATCCATAGCCTCCGTAACTGGAAAAACATTCAGGGCCACTTTTCCCCATTCACAATTTTATCCAGAATAAAGCTCGTTCGAATTGCACTCTCTCCCACACTCGGGCACTCCCCTTGACCCCTAAGAGCTGACACCACTGTCGCCAGCAATGGCTGTTGCACGTGCTCTGGGCTCGGGTCATCCCACTCATAGTGCCCTGTGTCGTTCCATAGCTCCACCTTATTGGACAGGAAAAACTGGAACTTTATTCTGCCCGAGCTGCCCGTGATCTCGCCGTACTCCTGCTGGCTGGACTTTCCCGCTGCGAAATTCCAGCTGCCCGTGCCGACGACTCCATTGGCAAATCGGAAGTGGGCTGTGACTGTATCAGGGGATGGGTACAGGCCGGCAAGATTGGTGGACCAACCAGAGACTGCCACCTGTACACGAGCCAGAAAAAGAAAGCGGATTGGAGAAAGGCGTCCTTGTAGTGCATGTATTTAGCGGGCGGTCTTGGAGTGGGTGCTTCCAACTCATGCCCAAAGAGTATGCTCTTGATTAGGTTTTTAGATTAATATTCACCAGGGGTTCACACTCGCTCACCGCATGTCCTTCCTCACTACAACCCCACCCTCACTCACCACACCCCCGCACACTCACCAAGGGTGCACACCTGCTCAACCCCCGGGTCCCCCCCACCGCACTCACCACAGGGCCGAAACAGAAGTCGAGCAGGTCCAGCTGGTGGCTGCCCTTGTCCGTTGTAATGGGTGGTGACCCTCCCGCACACTCACTCACTAGTCCACCCACCACATCCCACCCACACTCACTCACTAGTCCACCCACCACATCCCACCCACACTCACTCACTAGTCCACCCACCACATCCCACCCACACTCACTCACTAGTCCACCCACCACATCCCACCCACACTCACTCACTAGTCCACCCACCACATCCCACCCACACTCACTCACTAGTCCACCCACCACATCCCACCCACACTCACTCACTAGTCCACCCACCACATCCCACCCACACTCACTCACTAGTCCACCCACCACATCCCACCCACACTCACTCACTAGTCCACCCACCACATCCCACCCACACTCACTCACTAGTCCACCCACCACATCCCACCCACACTCACTCACTAGTCCACCCACCACATCCCACCCACACTCACTCACTAGCGCGTCCACACGCACTCACCATGTGGCCGAACAAGAAGTCAAGCAGGTCCAGCTGGTGGCTGCCCTTGTCGCGGAAGTACCCTCCCAGCCCGCCCACCAGTGGATCCACACGCCATTTGAGAGTCGCGTTGTGGAGTGACGCTCCCGCAGGGTGGTGCTGGGGGAGGGGGCGGTAGGGGTACAGCCTCTGATGCTGTTCCCCCTCTTCGCTCCCCTCCCCGTTCCCTTCTCCCCCACCCGCTGCTGCTGCTGCTGCTGCTGTGCTTGTTCTTGCAGCGTCTGTTTTTTCTGTTGCTGCTCCTGCAGCATTGCCTGCAGCTCTTTTTGAGTCGGCACCACACTGGTGGCCCACTGGTAGTCATAATTGTTGGGTGGACGGTGGTATACCACCTGCACTGACAGGATGTCCCCTATGGCTCCCGACTCCAATATTGTCTTGATCTGCAGAGGGGGATGGAAGGGTTGGCAGAATTGGTTGCTGGCACTGAGTGAATCCAGCATCGGCGGTGGTATACCACCTGCACTGACAGGATGTCCCCTGTGGCTCCTGACTCCAATAACGTCTTGATCTGCAGAAAGGGTTGGGAGGGATGGTGGGTGGTGTTGATGTGAATGGGGTTTGGGAATGAGTGTTTAAGAAAGATAGACAGAGGATAAACTGCAGTACACCCTACGAAAGTTGGCTACAATGCAATACAACCTGAAGCTGGGTAGTGACAAAAGAGACAAAAGAGGGGCAGCTCAGCTGTGCTGAAAGGAGCAACCCCTGCACACCCTGTAGAACTGAGGCATAATTCAAACACACCCTAAGAAAGCGAAGCATATATTAAACACATTCTGAACAATCATGACGTGTTACAGACACACCCGGAGGAAAGTTGGGCAGGGCGCGGTGGTAACAGGTGACAAAGAGAGGCAGCTTGGCAGTGAGAAGCTATTGAATTGGGGCATGCTCTAATCACACCTAAAGGAGATTCTCCAGACAGTAGATACACTCTAAGCACACACCCTGAGGAAGTTGGGCAGGGCGCGGCGGTAGTAGGCGACAAAGAGAGGCAGCTTGGCGCGCTGGAAGGCAGAGAGGATCTCAGAGCTGTCCACGTGGCTCATTCCCATTGGCTTCTCCACGTAGGCTGGCTTCCCTGCCTGCGCCGCCATGATGGCGTATCTGCACCCATGCCACGTGGCAGGTGCAGAGTGGGCGACATATATGTCAAGTCATGGCAGGGAAGAATGCGAGAAATAGCCCAGATTTGAGGAGTTGATGCACGAGGTTTGTGTTTTTGTTACTTGCTGACTCACCACATGCTGACTCGCCACATGCTGACTCAACACATGTTGACTCACCACATGCTGACTCACCACATGCTGACTCAACACATGCTGACTCAACACATGCTGACTCAACACATGCTGACTCAACACATGCTGACTCAACACATACTGACTCAACACATGCTGACTCACCACATGCTGACTCACCACATGCTGACTCAACACATGCTGACTCAACACATGCTGACTCAACACATACTGACTCAACACATGCTGACTCACTATATGCTGACTCAACACATGCTGACTCAACACATGCTGACTCAACACATGCTGACTCAACACATGCTGACTCAACACTCAACACATGCTGACTCACCACATGCTGACTCACTACATGCTGACTCACTACATGCTGACTCACCACATGCTGACTCACCACATGCCAACTCACTACATGCTGACTCAATACAAGCTGACTCACTGCTTGTGGTATCGGTGGGGAGTGGCGATGTAGACGGCATTCACATCGGCATCATTGATCGTCTCCTCTGCATTCGTTGACCACCTGCCATGCCATGCCATACCATGCCATGTGCAAGCACCCATGTGCAAGCACCCATGTGCAAAGGAGCTCTGATTGAGCCTGCGACTGTGGCACGCACCAATGAGCAAGAGTAAGCGGCGGTGGAGCATGCACCTTGCATCACGACTTGAGCATCACAAGCACCCACCTGCCTGCAGGGAGCAAGTGAGCACATTAAGGCCCCACCTGGGCACGTGGTGGCGCTGCGCGTAGTCCTGAGCCAGGGTGGCGTTGCGACGCATGACAGCCACGAGGCGAGACGAGGGGATGAGGGAGAAAGCTGACCCCCGCCTGCCCATTTGCTCACCTGCCCACCTACAGGGGAGCACCTAACGGTCCCACCTGGGCACGCCCCATCCCCACCTGGGCACGCCCCATCCCCACCTGGGCACGTGGTGGCGTTGGGCATAGTCCTGAGCGAGAGTGGCGTTGCGGCGCATGACAGCCACGAGGCGGGACGAGGGAATGAGTGAAAGCGCGGGGCCGGATTTCTTCTCTGTCACATCGCCACACCCGATGATGGCCCACCGCACCTGGGGGGAAGGAGAGAGGACAGGAATGGGCAGTGGTGGGAGTGAGCAGGAGGGGGAATGAGGAGGGCAGTGTGAGGAGTGCGGGCGGGAGGAGGGAATGCGCGAGAGCGCCGGGCCGGATTTCTTCTCTGTCTCATCGCTACACCCGATGATGGCCCACCGCACCTGGAGGGGGAAGAGAATGGGCAGTGGCGGGAATGAGGGGCGGGGGGAATGAGGTGGGTAGAGTGAGTGTGCCAGCGGGCGGTGGGGGTGGGGGTGGGGGATTCGGAGATGCCGGTGGCGACAGTGAGCCCCCCTCACTATTGTGGGAGTCCCACCATTTACCTCGCTGACAGGATGGAAATTTGCCAGCCTGTCATGGACGGGAACGGTTGTCGGTAGCGACGGCGTGGGCGGCGAGGAGAGGAAGAGCTCGAGGAGAAGCAGCGCGAAAAGCGCGCCGATGATGAGCGGAAGGGGAGGACGGGAGAGAATTGCGGGGAAGCGCGGAGCTGACGTGGCAACTGACCGCGGCATTGTCAGATAAGTGATTTTCTCATCCACTGTTATAGATTTGGGGGAAAATCGTTATTCGCGTCACCAGCGAAAGCGAGGTCAGATTGTTCAGCGAATCCCTAGAGCAAACGTCGCTAGCCTAGACTCATGGCAATGCGGCTCGACGGCGACAGGATCTGTCGACTGCTCCTACACCACACCCACAAAACGGAATTCCCCAGGGCGCAGGTGTATTTGGTGTTGGAACAACGAATTGTGCATTTGTGATATGTTCTACAGTCTGATCAAAATATACGGAGTTGAGATGTAATGTTTTACTGTATGCTACTATCGAGATAGCGGAAGGGTTCAGCACAAGCCACTGTAGCACGAGATGAGTCCGCGCCTTGGGATTTGGCGCGAAAACCAAATGCGTCAGACGGACTCCACTCGCGGAAAAATAATCTGCCTGCTTGCTTCTATCTCAATTCCTCCCCAATCCGCCTCCTTCCAATCCATTGAATTTACCACTTTCAACAGTCGAGACTCTGACGCAGTTCCCTTGCGGTTCTCTCGTCCCCGCACATTGCGTTCGTTCGTTCGAGGAGCTGCACGCATTAGGCTGGGATTCGGAGTAAGATTGCGAGCAACAAGAGTTGCAGCGCACTGGTCGATCCATTGTCACTCACTCAGCAACACCATTCACGCAAACAGTAGGTTTTTCTAGTGAGTAAATTTCTGATGAGTCGACTCAAGCGAAAGCAGCGGATGAGTCTACGCTAATAAACGACCCAGCGGTGGATAGTAGCATCACTGGAGAACCCACTTCCTTCAAGCTCTCGGCAAATTTTAAGTGCCACAGAGCCGAACCGTCCAGCTTGATTTGACTACTGTCCTCAGGCGTTGCCTGGTGTTGTCAGGGGTCGTTAGCTGGGTCGTTAGCTGCAGTCAAGGGGTCGTTAGCTGCAGTCAAGGGGTCGTTAGCTGCAGTCAAGGGGTCGTTAGCTGCCGTCAAGGGGTCGTTAGCTGCCGTCAAGGGGTCGTTAGCTGCCGTCAAGGGGTCGTTAGCTGCCGTCAAGGGGTCGTTAGATGCCGTCAAGGGGTCGTTAGCTGCCGTCAGGGAGCGCTTCTCCATGAGCTTAGCGCTACATTTCCGCAGCTGCTTAAGCTTTACCAGGCTCCCCACCTTGCGCGCCAACGCCGTGCGTCTCAGCTGTCATCCCCGCCGAGCCGTCGTCACCGTTACTTGTTCGGGTCACATCCGACCTGCAGGAGCCACCTCTCTCCACCGCGCAGCACCTCTCCAGGGATTGCCAGCCGTCCGCCGACTGCCTTCAATTCGTAAGCCTCCAGCTGCTCACCAATCATCAGTCGATAGCCAGCAGCTAGCCGTCAACAAACGGCTAGCCGGCAGCCAGCTGCCAGCTGCGATGAAGGCGGGACGGGGAGGTAGCAGTGGCAAGAAGCCTGGCGTTACCGCCGCAGACGGTCGCGGTCAACGGTCCATTGCTTCTTTCTTCGGAGGTAAGGACCAATCAGGACCCGCGGGGAAGGCTTTACCTGGGGGCGGTCAGAGATCCATCTCCTCTTTTTTTGGAGCAAAAGGGAAAGCTGCCGCTGCTACTGGTGGTGGAGGTGTGGGTAAATCCGAGGTCGAGGGTTCGAATCCCAGTGCGGTGGATAAAGCAAGCGAGGAGTTGAAGGAAACTGCATTGAGGAAAGACGAGCCTCTAGAATCAGCAGCAGCAGCAGCAGCAGCGGAGGGTCCAGGTCCCACACAGGTTAGTAAAGAAGCTGTTGAAAACGGGGATGGAGCAGTGGCTACTGCAGGGAAAGAAGGCACTCGCGCTGAGCAGGCAGTTACGGAGGAAGCTTGGGGGGAAGAGATGGCGGAGGCGGAAGCAGTAGGGGGAAGGGAAGGCGGAGGGGGAAGCGCAGGGGGAGGGGCAGGGGAAGCAGTGACTGGCGGAGCTGGCGCCAGGCGGTTAAAGCGGCTGAGGAAGGTTGGGGAGGGGGCGCGGGAAACGGGGAAGGGAAGAGGGGAAGGAGGAGTTGAAGGAGAGGGGATTGGGGAGGTGGGAGGAGGGACGGGGGAGATGGGAGAGGGTGCAAAGAAGGCAAGGACGGGAGGAGGCGAGGAGGGGGAATCCGCTGCTGCAGCTGCGACTGCTGCTGTCGCTGCTACTGCTGCCGCCGCCAAAGCTTCTGCGTCTGCTGTCGCTTCTGCTGCTGCAGCAGTTGGTAAAGGGGCTTCTATCCCCGCCGTCGCGCCTAAGTCACCAACTGTTGCCAGAGGAAGGAAGAAAGCAGCAGCTTCAGCTGGTAAAGCTGCCATCGACGCACCTGCTGCTGCTGCTGCTGCTGCTGCTGCTGCTGTGGTCACGGATGAGTTAGCAGCTGAGGGAGGTAAGCAAAAGAGCTCTCGTTGCAGGACCAGCAGCAGGAGCAGCAGCAGCAGCAACAGCAGCGGCAGTAGTGGCAGCGAGGGTGCTGCGTTATCCGCCAGTAGTAGCACCAGTGACGGTGCTGACGAGGACAGTGACGTGGGCAGTGACGTGGGCAGTGACGTGGACAGTGCCAGCAGTGACCTGGCAGAGGCACCCGTCATTGCAGCAGCAGAAACCACAGAAGCGAGATCCGCCTTTGACGCCCTAAAGCAAGCTAAGAGCCGCACGGAAACGAAAGCCAAGAGGAAAACAAAGGGAAAAGGGGCAGGGGCAGGAGGCGCAGGAGGAGGAGCAGGCGATGGGTTGGTGGCGCTGGCAGCAAAGCTGGTGCAGTATGACCCGGTGGGGGCTGCCACGTGGAAGAGCGGCGAAAGGGTGCCCTTCCTCTACCTCGCCCAGGCACTTGACAGTACGTTGCCTCTGGGATCTGTGATCTGTACTGGGGTTCTGGGATCTGTACTGGGTCTCTGGGCTGTGTGTTGGGGGTTCTGGGGCTTGGGTTGTGGGTTGGTTGGTGGCGCTGGCAGCAAAGCTGGTGCAGTATGACCCGGTGGGGGCTGCCACGTGGAAGAGCGGCGAGAGAGTGCCCTTCCTCTACCTTGCGCAGGCGTTAGACAGTACGTTGGCTGTGTGCTTTGGGCTCTGGGCTCTGGGTTTCGGGCTCTGGGTTTCGGGCTCTGGGTTTCGGGCTCTGGGTTTTGGGCTGTGCCTCTGGGCTCTGGGCTCTGACTGTGGGCTCTGGGCTCTGACTGTGGGCTCTGGGCTGTGTGCTTGGGCTTTTGGGCTTTGGGGGTTGGGGCTTGGGTTGTGGGTTGGTTGGTGGCGCTGGCAGCAAAGCTGGTGCAGTATGACCCGGTGGGGGCTGCCACGTGGAAGAGCGGCGAGAGAGTGCCCTTCCTCTGCCTCGCACACGCGTTAGATAGTACGTTGACTTTGTGCTGTGGGTTCAGCGTTCTGGGTTCTGGGCTCTGAGGTGTTGGCTGTGGGAGGGTTGTGGGCACGCAGGTGTAGAGTCTGCGAACATGAGGGCTTTAAATCATGCATTGTGGGACTCCAGATTAGGTTTGGGTTTCAGTGCTGTGTGAGGTGCAGAATTTGGGGCTTAGCATGGTGGTGGGCAGGATATCACCTTTTGACCTGCCCTGCCCCACCCCAACCCGCCCTTCTATGCACGACTTGCCAGGAATATCCAATGAATCTGGACGGCTGGCGATCACAGAGATCATGTGCAACGTGTTCCGCACCGTCATGGCCACGTCACCAGACGACCTGCTGCCCATCGTGTACCTCGCGGCCAATCGCGTCGCGCCACCTCACGAGGGCGTGGAGCTGGGGATTGGCGATGCTACTATCATCCGCGCTCTGGCTGAGGCGACTGGGAGGAAAGAGGCGGTGGTTAAGTCGGAGTATAAGGTAAGCAGGATGGGAATGAATGAACGATGATGCAAGGGGGTGAGGTGAAGATAGGAGGTGAAGATGATTGCTGGTCCATGGCTTCTAGCGTGGTAGAGCCACCATATTGCTGTCATGCCCATTTCATGCCTTCCCCTTTACACTGAACTCCGAAGCATCCCATTTCTCCCTTTACTCAGATACTTTGATTGTTGAAACCTTGAGTTTGTTTATCAGGAGTGTGGTGACCTGGGGCTGGTGGCGAAGGCCAGTCGCACCACGCAGCGCATGATGATGCAGCCCAGTCCTATCCCGCCATGTTGATTATGTGGTTGCTACAGCCGGCACTCAACTTAAGATCACTCAACCCCACGTCTTTCAAACCCGAATCATGCCACAGGAGTGTGGTGACCTGGGGCTGGTGGCGAAGGCCAGTCGCACCACGCAGCGCATGATGATGCAGCCCAGTCCTATCCCTCATGTTGATTATGTGGTTGCTACAGCCGGCACTCAACTTAAGATCACTCAACCCCACGTCTTTCAAACCCGAATCATGCCACAGGAGTGTGGCGACCTGGGGCTGGTGGCGAAGGCCAGTCGCACCACGCAGCGCATGATGATGCAGCCCAGTCCTATCCCGCCATGTTGATTATGTGGTTGCTACAGCCGGCACTCAACTTAAGATCACTCAACCCCACGTCTTTCAAACCCGAATCATGCCACAGGAGTGTGGCGACCTGGGGTTGGTGGCGAAGGCCAGTCGCACCACGCAGCGCATGATGATGCAGCCCAGTCCTATCCCGCCATGTTGATTATGTGGTTGCTACAGCCGGCACTCAACTTAAGATCACCCGAATCATGCCACAGGAGTGTGGCGACCTGGGGTTGGTGGCGAAGGCCAGTCGCACCACGCAGCGCATGATGATGCAGCCCATTCCTATCCCGCCATGTTGATTATGTGGTTGCTACAGCCGGCACTCAACTTAAGATCACTCAACCCCACGTCTTTCAAAACCGAATCATGCCACAGGAGTGTGGCGACCTGGGGTTGGTGGCGAAGGCCAGTCGCACCACGCAGCGCATGATGATGCAGCCCAGTCCTATCCCGCCATGTTGATTATGTGGTTGCTACAGCCGGCACTCAACTTAAGATCACCCGAATCATGCCACAGGAGTGTGGCGACCTGGGGTTGGTGGCGAAGGCCAGTCGCACCACGCAGCGCATGATGATGCAGCCCAGTCCTATCCCGCCATGTTGATTATGTGGTTGCTACAGCCGGCACTCAACTTAAGATCACTCAACCCCACGTCTTTCAAACCCGAATCATGCCACAGGAGTGTGGCGACCTGGGGTTGGTGGCGAAGGCCAGTCGCACCACGCAGCGCATGATGATGCAGCCGGCGCCGCTTACCTGCCACAAGGTCTTTGAAGCCTTCCGGTTCATTGCCAAGGTGAGTGAACCTGCCTGCTTGCCACGGTGAGCCTGCTGTTGAGATATTGCAAGCTTGACGCAGCCACTGCCATTGTACCACTCACGTGCCACAAGGTGTTTGAAGCCTTCCGATTCATTGCCAAGGTGAGCTCCCTTCGCTTGTTCACCAGGGATTACGATTACCAAAATAGGTATTCATGGATGGTTGCTTGGTGCTTCGGCTGCTATCGTGTGGGCTTTCAGTGTGTTGACTTTACAACAAGTGCACGTGTTCACCCCTCCAGGAGTCAGGCAGTCAGAGTGTGGAGAAGAAGAGGGCGCGCATAAAGCAGCTGCTGGTGTCGGCGCGGCAGCAGGAGCCGCAGTTCATAGTGCGCCTGCTGCAGGGCAGGATGCGCATCGGCCTCGCAGAACAAACGGTGCTTGCTGCCCTGGCCCAGGCCGCTGTCATGCACGAGGATTTCCGAGAGGGCGCTGCTGGTGCTGCTGCTGGTGCTGGTGCTTGTGGTGCTGCTACTGGTGGTGATAGTGCTGTGGCAACTGGGGGAGGGGGCGATGGGGAGAGGGAGGGAGAGGGTGAGGAGAAAGGGCCTGGGGAGGAGAGCCGAGGAGGCAAGGTGCTTACGAAGCGGGAGAAGCTGGCGCAATTACCAGGACGACTGGAAGAGGTGAGTGCTGCATTCGGTTCAGACAGTCCCACAACGTGACAGCCAGGGATGATCAGAAGAAGTTGGTAGGCAGGGGCACGAGACGAACAGACTAGGCGCGTTGGGCCAGGAGAAATGACCGAAATTACCCGAATGGGCGAAAGGGGGGAAGTGATTGTATTCGTCCTTTCCCTGACAAGACGGCTGGCTGGCCCTGGGAGTGCTGGTGTGGTGGGGCCTCTTGAGGCACCTCAAGAGTCAGTGAGGCGGGTGGGGCGCTGTGGTCCCAAGTCCCAAGGCGTGTTGGTTCAGTTCACTCTGGGAGTTCGGTGGGGCCATGGTGTCCTGCTCAACCCATACATCCATTCTCACCTCGTCCCGTCCCCCGTGCGTCATCCACTCCCCCACCCCCGACTCTTCCCCATCTCCTCCCCCACCTTCCAACCCATGCAGGCCGTGCGGATCATGAAGCACGTGGACTCAGTGCTCCCTGTCTTCAGCCGGGTTGTTCCATCCCTCCCAAAAGATGTCTCTGGGCCGTTCCTGAAGCATGCCAGTTCACCCTGGGAGTGCCGGTGGGGCCCATGCTGGCCTGCTCAACCCTTGCATCCATTCTCACATCGTCCTCATGCGTCCTCCACTCCCCATCTCCCACTCCCCCAACCTGTCATCTTGCACCCCCAGGCAGTGCGCATCATGAAGCATGCATGCTCAGTGCTCCCAGTGTACGACCAAGTTGTTCCTGCCCTCTTGAAAGATGGCATATGGGCCGTGCCTAAGGCGTGTCAGTTCACCCTGGGAGTGCCGGTGGGGCCCATGCTGGCCAAGCCGACACGGGGCATATCGGAGATCCTGGACAAGTTGCAGGGGCTGACTTTCACGTGCGAGTACAAGTACGATGGGGAACGCACACAGGTGAGTGAGATGAGAGACTCGGTCCGTTTGGCTTTCTTTCGGGTAGCATCTGGGCCGTCCCCCAGGCATGCCAGTTCGCCTTGGGAGTGCCGGTGGGGCCCATGCTGGCGAAGCCCTCACGGGGCATATCGGAGATACTGGACAAGCTGCAGGGACTCACGTTCACATGCGAGTATAAGTATGACGGGGAGAGGACGCAGGTGAGACGAGAGAAGCGCATGTGGCTGTCTTGTGAAGAGTGGGCTGAAATGCCGTATTGGAAATACTGGATATGCTGCATTGGGTGATGGTCACGAGTGCGAGTACCAGCCACATTACTTCTTCTCTCCCATGCTGCCCTACCTTTTCCCATGCCAACGTCGCTCATATGCCCCATGCCGACGTCACTCATGCCGCATGCTATGCCAACCAATGCACCCCATGCCAGTTCCCCCATGCCCCTGTGTGTCTCACATCAGGTGCTTGGTCTGGCACACAGCACAGCGCATATCTACAGCCGCAATGTGGCACAGAGGATGAACCTTGTATTCAAAGTGAATGCCTGCGCTTCCATCTAACTGCCTCCATGCCCTCCCCTCCTATCAGGTGCATGGGCTGGCAGACGGCACAGTGCAGATCTACAGCCGCAATGCAGAGTGCACCACGGGCAAGTTCCCAGACCTCGTGCAGGCCGTGCAGAAGTAAGCCCGTTGCATACGCATGAGTCAGAATCGGGATTATACGAGTGATCCAAGTTTTTTATACTCAGAAGTGCCCATGTGAATACCTCTGTGCTGTACACATCGTCTTTGAGTCGACTTAAATCTTGTCTCGCATTCCCTCCCTCACGTGCAGGCACAAGAAGGCTCATGTAGAGACCTTTGTGTTGGACGCTGAGGCAGTGGCGTACGACAGGGAGAGCGACAAGATCCTGCCCTTCCAGGTTCTCAGCACACGGGCAAGGAAGGGCGTCATTGTCAGCGACATCAAAGTGCAGGTGGGTGTGTGTGGGGTTGGGTGTGGCGTTGGGTGGGTGGCTTTGCTTTTGCAGTGGGGTAGTGTTCCTATTGGCATGTGGTCACAGGAAGTGGGTTGCCCTTCCAGGTTCTCAGCACACGCGCGAGGAAAGGCGTCATTGTCAGCGACATCAAAGTGCAGGTGGGTGATTGGAGCTGGGTATGTGGTCAGACTCATTTCAGCTTCATTGGTTGGAGCTGAGTGTTCACCTTCTCGACCTTCATGGCTTGGCCGACCCTTCTCTCCTCAAATACTCCCTGTCTTGCGCATGTTCATCAGGTGTGCATGTTCGCCTTTGATCTGCTCTACCTCAACGGCCAGCAGCTGCTGAAGAGGCATTAGTTAGGCATCTTCTCCTACCCCTCTTCTCCTCCCCTTCCATCTCTCCCTCCTCCCCTTCGATCTCTCCCTCCTCCCCCCACCTCCCCCTCCATCCACATCAGGTGTGCATGTTCGCATTCGACTTGCTCTACCTCAACGGCCAGCAGCTGCTCACAGAGACATGTTTGCGACATCTCAACCCCCCATTCCTCCCTGCTCTCCTCCTCGCCCTCAGGTGTGCATGTTCGCCTTTGACCTGCTCTACCTCAACGGCCAGCAGCTGCTCACAGAGAATCTTGCACGCCGGAGAGAGGTGAGGCAAGGTGGGACAGTTTAGTCCAGGGTGGGTGTATTCTTTTGGTGTAGGAACCGTGATATTTTCTCACTATTTGAGGTGTTCGAACAACCCGGTACTTGGAACCTTCTTGAGCGAGTTGTGAGAATTATGGACAAAAGGTAAAATCGAGGTGCGAAGAAAAAAACGACAGTACGACTCTCAGAACCCTTTAGGCGCCTCAGAATTCGGTGTGCTTCCAACAAGCTCGGATCGAAGCCTGTGAACCTGTGTCTCACACCCAAATTGAAAGGGACTCCAGCAAGTCGTTACTTGCTGTCATCTCTACTTCTCTCTCCCTCCCCCATTTCTCTCTCCCTCCCGCCAGCTGCTGCTGGAGTGGTTTGAGCCGGCCAAGGGTAAGTTCCAGTCCGGTTTGACTTGAGCAGAGTTCAGGTTTTAGGCCTCAAAACTGGAAGCCTTTTGAGTGAATGACGCCTGCTCCCCATGTTCCCCTGTTCTCTCCCACTCCAGCTACTGCTGGAGTCGTTTGAGCCGGCCAAGGGCGAGTTGCAGTTCGCCACGGCCATCACAACCAGCAAGGAGGAGGAGCTGCAGGCATTCTTTGACGACGCCGTCAACCACAGGTGCGGAGGAGCATGTGGGGTTCACTGTGCACTCAATGCGAGGGCTAGCGGGGCGGTATCAGCATAGCCACACATGGCATGACAGTTCCTTCCATCCTGCCATGGCCATAACGACCAGCAAGGAGGAGAAGCTGCAGGCATTCTTTGACCATGCCGTCAACCACAGGTGGGGGGCGTGGGGTCATTGGGAGTCAAGGGGTCGTAGGGGGGGTCATGGGGGAGGAGAGGGTGTCACGGTGGGAGGCTTTGGACGGGGATGCGATGTGGCTGACTGTGCTTGTGCCCCTAACTTTACTCCATGACTCCCTCATATGCTTCGCTTCTTCCCTTCCACCCCCATCTACTCCACCCCACCCCACACCACTGCCTATTTACTCCACTTGCTCCTTTTCCTCCGGCAGCTGCGAGGGAGCCATGGTGAAGAAACTGGACGTGGATGCCACATACGAGCTGCACGTGTTTTTTGCACACCTTGTGCGCTGGTCATTGTCTGTGCTGCTTACCTCCCCTCCCCTTTCTGTGCTCCCCTCTCCCGGCAGCTGCGAGGGAGCCATGGTGAAGACCCTGGACGTGGATGCCACATACGAGCCGGCCAAGAGGAGCAACAACTGGCTCAAGCTCAAGAAGGACTACATGGAAGGGTGCGGTGGGGTGGGCTGCCGTGGGGAGGGGTGTGCGCCGAGCGCCTGTGTGTGGTGGTGGGGTTGGGAGGATGCGATGTGAGCACATGTGTGTGACTGCACCGACATTGATCATATCGAGCCTGTCAGCGCCTCACACCCCAATCTGCCCCCCCATGAATCTGGGAAACTCCTGGGACTCCGTTCGCAACCGGGAGTTCCATGTGGTTCCTGTGTTCATGACCCTTTTTGCTTGCATTGCATGTGCTCGCTCGCGCCCTTCTTCGCACATTGCCTCACTTCCCTTCCATCGCACCCCAAATACTCCACCATGGGTCTTCCACGAGGTGCATCATGGTCTCTCACTCCCCTCCCTCCCGTTTCACCCTGCTCCCCCCCCATCATGCCACTCCTGCCCCCCCATCCAGGCTGGGCGATTCCTTGGACCTCGTGCCCATCGGTGCCTTCCATGGCCGTGGCAAGCGAACAGGTGAGAGGAGCGGTGGAGAATAGCGTAGGACATTGTGTCAAGGGATGGGGTTGCAGGTGGGTCTGTGGGTGATGGGACACTGGGACGATGGAAGGTTGGGCCTGGAAGGCTTGCTGCTGATCTGTATCCACTGCTCTTGGGGCTGGAACAATGGTTTCTCTTTGAGTCTGCGACCCCTTTGTGTCTGTCTCACGACAGAACTGTATGTAATTAGTTCAACACCTAGGAGAACCATTCTATGTGCAAGAAACCCTTGGAAGCCGTGCTATTTCGGCCGTGATTGCATTTCCTTCAGCAGGTGTGTTCGGAGCCTTTCTCCTGGCGTGCTATGATCCCGACACGGAGGAGTACCAGTCAATCTGCAACATGACCTTCACACTCTCTTATTTACATTACACCTTTAACGCCATTACGTCTGCCTCGACAGGTGTGTTAGGAGCCTTCCTCCTGGCGTGCTACGACCCAGACACTGAGGAGTACCAGTCCATCCGCAAGAGAACTTTCAAGAATATCGTTTTTTTCCTCCATCTATCACCTTTACGGCATCTATTTCGTTCACTTACACAGGTGTGTTTGGAGCCTTCCTCCTCGCGTGCTACGACCCCGACACGGAGGAGTACCAGTCCATCTGCAAGATCGGCACCGGCTTCTCAGAAGCAGCACTGGAGGAGTGCTCTGCCTCGCTGCGCAAGCGAGTCATTGACAAGCCGCCTGTGAGTGCAGCGGTGGGGTGGTGTGGGGTGGGTGGGATGGGGTATGGTGGGGTGGCATGAGATGTGGTGGAGTGTGGTGGGATGTGGTGGGATGTGGTGGTGGTGTGGTGTGGTGTGGTGTGGTGTGGTCCCTGCCATCGTTGTGATGCTCTTCTCACGCAACTGAGTCTGAGAGTCGCATATTGAGGTGTTTGTGTGTGTTACTCTCCACTCTTCCCCTCTCTTACTCACAACCTTGGTCTGCCCCCCCACAACCAGCCCTACTACCGCTATGGGGAGACGCTAGGAGTCGAAGTGTGGTTTAAACGCACAGTCCAACCATTGCCCCCCCTTTGGTCGTATTCTTTGCCAAACTTGCTCCTCGACCACCCCCCCCCACGCCCAGCCCTACTACCGGTACGGGGAGACGCTAGGAGTCGAAGTGTGGTTCGAGCCGTCGGAGGTGTGGGAGGTGCGGGCGGCGGATTTGTCCATTAGTCCCGTGCACCGCGCGGCAGTGGGGCACGTGAATGAGACCAAAGGGATCGCCCTGCGCTTCCCTCGGTTCCTGAGGCTGCGAGATGACAAGAGCGCGGAGCAGGCCACTTCCAGTGAACAGGTGAGCAATGGGAAGGGACGGGGGAGGGGGGGCGCTGGTGGTGGGGAAGGGGGGATTGTGAGTTTGGGTTTGGGTTTGGGGCGGATCCGAAGAGAAAGAGAATGGCTGCTAGATGGTAAGAGCTCGGAGCAGGCGACCTCCTGTGAGGACAGCATCCTGTAATCTCTCATTCCATTTAGGAACGTTAGGCTCATCAGAAGCAAGTACCAGGAGGTTGCTCAGATTTACAAAGGGGTGTGCCAAGACATGTGTGGTCCTGTGTGTCCGCCCTGTGTGAACAGGTTGCTCAGATGTACAACGCACAGAAGATCAACCATGTGGGCGGCAGAACCAAAGATGATTAGCACTTGCTTCATGAACCCAACCAGCTCCCAGCAGGAATACTGTCCCATAAATATCAATGTTGGCAGCAAAGCATGCTGCTGATAGTTGTGACTAATTCTTGCTTGGAACTTGACCCTACAGCGTGGGCCTACACCCAGTACTTGGGCACTGGGTCTTCCAGTGAAGCGGAGTGGAAGTCAAAGTAGTCAAGGCTGGCATACTGCTTCAGCGCCAGCAGGAACTTATCCTTGTCAGGAAACGTGCGCCTGGCAGATGGCTGCTTCCACATGGCGGCCATCCATTGGGTGACAAGCGGGTGGTCAGGAGCAAAGGGTTCTCCTCGGATTCCTTCTGAGACTAGCTGGAAGCGAGCGAGGAAGGGGAAGAGAACCACGTCAGCCTGCCATGACACATGGGTGGAGTGGATGGAGACAGGTGGAGTGGAGACAGGTGGAGTGGAGACAGGTGGAGTGGAGACAGGTGGAGTGGAGACAGGCGGAGTGGAGACAGGTGGAGTGGAGACAGGTGGAGTGGAAACAGGTGCAGGTGAGCCTGGTTGGGAATCTGGAAAACCGTTTTTTAACAGACTTCACATTCACGTGCTTCCTCTAAAACATCATCGTTTCACATACCGTACCAGAGTAAGGTTTCCGCCCATTAAAACCGAAATATAAAATAGTGAACCCTGTCCCATCTTGAAAGCGGCTGCCGAAAACGGGCCGTTCGAGCACTGTTCCAAACAAAACGAAAAGCACCATGAGCAAATGTGATTGGCTGTCGCCAATCTTTGATTCTTCATGTTCCCGCCGGTTTTTTTTTTCCCTGCGGATCTCCTCTGTCGCATGTTTCGTGCTACACCTGCACGACTCTTGCCAAGCGATGGTTTCGATCGCCAGGCCAAAGTTGGTTTCAAGCTGGAACTGGGTTTCATGCTAGTTGCTCTCCGTCCCGTAATCACTAGTTTCATTCCTAGCATATTATAGCTGACAACAATAGATGTTTGTGGCCAAGCTAAGGAACTAACGACCCAACAGGAATGCGTAAGACTGTTACATAGCGTTGTATCGTAATTTTATTCCCTTCCATAGCCTATCGTTACCCTTCCGCATGTGTTAGTTTCCTGTATCGCGCCTTCGTCATCTCCCCTTGCCTCCAGTCGTTCGTCCGCTTTCCGCTCCCCTCCCACCTTCGCGGGTCTCTCTCCTCTCCCCCCGTCACCATCTCTTTCTCCCCTCGCGCATGCATTCGTCGGCCCATCGCTCACCGCGTCGTCTTTAGCTCCCATCGCCTTAGCGCTCTCCCTCTCGTCGTATGCTAGCTGCTCTCCCTCCCATCGCCTTAGCGCTCACTCTATGGTCGCCTTAGCGCTCTCTCTACCGTCGCCTTAGCGCTCTCCATTTCGTCGCCTTAGCGCTCTCCATTTCGTCGCCTTAGCGCTCTCCATTTCGTCGCCTTAGCGCTCTCCATTTCGTCGCCTTAGCGCTCTCCATTTCGTCGCCTTAGCGCTCTCCATTTCGTCGCCTTAGCGCTCTCCATTTCGTCGCCTTAGCGCTCTCCATTTCGTCGCCTTAGCGCTCTCCATCCCGTCGCCCTTGCAATCTCCCCTCCCATCCGGTCGTTCCTCCCTCCCCTCGCCATCGCGCTCACGTTCCTCCCCTCCACTCGCCATCGCGCTCACGTTCCTCCCCTCCCCTCGCCATCGCGCTCACGTTCCTCCCTTCCCTCGCCATCGTGCTCACGTTCCTCCCCTCCACTCGCCATCGCGCTCACGTTCCTCCCCTCCCCTCGCCATCGCGCTCACGTTCCTCCCCCCCCTCGCAATCGCACTCACGTTCCTCCCTCCCCTCGTCATCGCGCTCACGTTCCTCCCCTCCCCTCGCCATCGCGCTCACGTTCCTCCCCTCCCCTCGCCATCGCGCTACGTTCCTCCCCTCCCTCGCCATCGCGCTCACGGTCCTCCCCTCCCCTCCCATCCCGTCGTTCGCCTCCTCTCCCCTCCCATCCCGTCGTTCGCCTCCTCTCCCCTCCCATCCAGTCGTTCGCCTCCTCTCCCCTCCCATCCCGTCGTTCGCCTCCTCTCTTCTCTTTCTTCCCTTCGCTCCTCCGCTCTCCCCTCGCTGGCCGTTGTTCCTCTCTCTCTCCCCATCGAGATATCATTCTATCCCCCTCGTCCTACACTGTCCCTATTTTTAACCTCTCTCAGCCTCAAGTCCAAGGTCTCGCCGTTTCTCGCAGCTCTGCCAGGTCGTCGGCCCACCTTGGCATATGTGTGTGCTCTGGATTCTGTGTTGTTGATTGGTGTTCGGTTTTGTGAAGTTCGCATTGAAACCTTGCGCCAAATTCGCAGAGAAGTATGTGTGCATTGTGTGTGAGTTTCGCTGCCAATCAGAATTGTGCACTCTTCCAAGTGTTCCCCGTTCACAGCGAGACTCGTCAGGAGTGAAAAAATAAACATGCACTTCATTGGTTCCGAAACTGTTCCAAAAAAACTTCAGTTTTCAAGTGGACCCAACTAGAAGGGGGGGGTCACTATTTTAGCTGCTGGCTTTAAGAACGGCCCTTGTGATTGGCGGACGGCCTCTTCCAGTGAGTCCAGGGCTTCACATTCACGTGCTCCTTTTACAGTAAAACAGCATCGTTTCACTTACCAGAGAAAGGTTTCCGCCCATTAAGAACGGCCCTTGTGATTGGCGCACGGCCTCTTCCAGTGAGTCTAGGGCTTTCCTCCACTCGCCTTGCACCCGCGCACTCCCCCCTCCTCTGCTGCCCCTTTTGGTGTCGATAGCCCACAAGCGCTCAGACCCTGCCACCATTGCCAGACCCTGAGACAGGGTGGTGTGGGGAGGGAGAGGGGGAGGGGGAGGGGTTGTCGGTGTTGTATGAATGCGTGCAGGAGTGGTGAGTCGGGATGCCCCTGCAGAGGATGACAGGTTGGAGAGGAGCGGTTGGCATTCTTCAATCCACTGTAAAATATATCTGCAGAGGATTGCATCTATGAATGAATAATATAACTCACAGCGTGAATGATGGAGTCGGCCTTCCCTAAAACGCGGTCCATGGCTCTGCTGCTCTCTGCCTCTGAAGGCACCAGAGGCACTTGGGGAAATCGCTCGTCTAGAAACCGGCAAATGTCCATGCTTTCTGTGACCACTTGGCCGCTCACAGCCACAGCTGGCACCAGCCCACGCGGATTCACGGAGAAGTACCTGCATGTGCCGGTAGTGCCCGCGGAAAGGAGGAGATGAGGAAAAGGAGAAGGGTAAAAGGCAGCAGGAGAGTGCAGTGAAGGGCAGTGAAGGGTTGCCTGTAAGCAAGTAGTACCATGAAGGCTTGTTGGAGAGGTCAATGTGTATGCTCTTGTAGTCCAGGCCTGACCAACAGACAAAAAACAGTCGCATTTCCAAGCCTGACCCACAAACAACCAGCAGTCACAATGTTGGAGCGAAAGCTGTTGGAAGAGAGAAAAACAAGGAATTAGGAGGGCGTGGGTGGGTCATTCATTCGTACCCTTGGCCTCCAGCGTGATCGCCACGCGCTGCGCGTACGGACACAAGCCGTGCGTGTAGAAGGTAACGTCTGGCTCGTCCGCTTGTGCGCCTTCGGATTCATTGCATTGAGCGTCCTTGTCATATTGGCCTTCATGGCCCAACCAACCCGCAGCGGCTCGAGCGGCTGGTCGGCGCCTGGAACCTGTCATTGCGCTCTGTTTTTGCCTGATACCCGAATTTGACCGTTGCGACCCGGTGAATGCCGCAGGCGTACGGTGGGAAGCGGTTGTGATGATTGTGCAGGTTGATGCGTACAAGGAAGATGGATCTAGAGCAGTACGGACGGAAAGGCTGAATCGTGATACCATCTTTCACTAATGCCAAGGCAGGATTCGTTACAATCACGCGCGGAGACTAACTGCGAGAGCTCATCTAGCTTCGTGACCTAATCTGAGGAGTAATCGTGACTAGTAGTATGACGCTGCTAAATTGCCACGGGAACAGCTACCGAAGCCGATCACCCCTCACCACTCAAGCCTGTCAGATCGGTTTTGCGGAATGACATGTTCGAGGTCGCTGTGATCGCCAAAGATTGTTTTTACTGGAGGACGAAAATTAGTGTGATGGTTACAAATTCCGTCGTCTCGTCGCTGGAGCATTTGTTTCTCCTTGTACAAAAGCGTCGCGGTGAAGCTTCTAGAATCTTCAACAGCCAAATTCTGGACCAGCATTTTCGGATATTGCAGGGTATGGAACAGAACTGATCATGTGTGCGTATGTGTGCGTGATCATAAGGGTGTGTCAGATCCGCTTCGCGCTAATTCGACCGGCCGGATTTCACGAAAGTAACCGTGCTGCGACGCTCGTTTGCAAGTTTCGGCTACTTCGCCACATCCGGCCACATGTTGTAAGATCCGTTGGCCGTTTCATGAGTCAAAAACAAACCGACGTGCAGTCGACTCGAAAGTCGACCAGGCTAAGCTACAGTGACTGTGCGACTTCGCATGCTCAAGCCTGCGACGACACAGCACATGGTAACTACAAAATAACCAATCATTGAAAAACATGCGACGTCTACGCACAATCCGGCCAAACCTTCGACTGCAAATCTGACAGACCCCTGCAATTCGGCCACCAAAAGTGTCTGTTTTGAAGATGTGGCCTACGGTGGTCGACTACGAAGTTGACCACGTAGTCGTCTTTCGCGAAAAAAATTGTCGACAATATGGTCGACAAATAACCAGCCAGAACAGCTTTCAGCGGATCTGACACACCCTAAAAAACGACAGTATCTTCATCACCCGCAACATCCTCTGCTCTTTCGAATCCACCCGCTGATGATCTGCAGTCGTTAGCACCTCCGTTTAATCACTCGAATTTGCGTGGTGATAATTATTCATCAGCTAGACCTCGTAGATCGTCTGCGCGTCTCGTTCCGTTCCGATCCGCACGTTGCTTTCGGATCCCGCGGCCATGGCGAATCCGCGCGTGTACTTTGACGTCTCGATCGGCGGCGAGCCGGAGGGTCGCATCGTGATGGAGCTGTTCAGAGACGCCGCGCCCAGAACGGTTGAGAATTTCCGCGCGCTCTGCACGGGGGAGAAGGGCGTCGGCGCAAATACCGGCCTGCCACTTCATTTCAAGGTCCCCTCCCTCTCCTTCAGTTACTTTGTAGCATTTTTACTGTGTTACTTTCACATATGGATCTCATTTGAGTTTCAGGGTTACCACGTATGAGTATCTTGGATTTCTATGGCGAGAGCATCTCACTGGGCTCAAAATCGCCTGTCATTCTAAGTCTCTTCCCCCTTCTCTTCTCTCCCCTCATACGTTCAGGGTTGTCCCTTCCACAGAGTCATCAAGGGTTTCATGATGCAGGGAGGCGACTTTTCCAACAAGAACGGCACAGGGGGGGAGTCAATCTATGGGGAGAAGTTCGAGGACGAGCCTGGGGGCCTGGCGCTCAAGGTATGGACCACGAGTAACGAGCGTAATTCATTAGTTGACGAATTAAAACAGCCATTTACAAGTACGAGTTTGTGGACGAGCCAGGAAGCTTGATACTCGAACGTACAACACTTACTTGAACTTGTTGGTCGGTTGATTCAAGTGCTAATATATTCTTCCATCCTCCCTTCATCTTAGGGTTTGAATTCCCGCCCCTAATAGAATTTGATACGCGCCGCTCACCAAAATGTGCACCTTTCCCTCCCTCCCTCATGCCCATCTTCACCGCACTACACCGCAGCATGATAAGCGTGGGGTCCTATCCATGGCGAACAGTGGGCCGGGCACGAACGGCAGTCAGTTCTTCATCACATATGGCCCCACACAGCACCTCGACGGCAAGCACTGCGTGTTCGGTCGAGTGCTGCGAGGAGGGCAGGTGAGACAGGCAATGTGGGTGTTGGCGGATTTAGAGGAGAGTGTGAGGACGCGGGTGAGGTGTTAGCTAGGCGTTGTATTTGCAATGTGGAAGGCAGTTTGACCCCCTCTTTGTTTGCCACACATACTAATATTCGAAATGATTGTTTCGATTCTTTTTTCCACCTGTTTGATCAATCAGGTTCTTCGAGCGGTGGAGATCACCCCCACGGACGGTTCAGATCGTCCGCTGAGCGACGTCATCATCAACGACTGTGGCGAGCTGGCAGAGGAGGAGGACGACGGCACCATGAACCACCCTGTGCGTGGGAAGTGGGGGGGGGGGGGGGGGGGGGGGGGGGGGGGGAATTATGTACTATTTTGTAGGCAGTGCATGTGGGTCTAGCGGTGTGCGGGGTAAAGTGGGAGGGCAATGGCACTGTGAACCACCCTGTGAGTGGGAAGTGGGGAGAGAGGGGGGGGAGGGGGCGTGTACTAGTTTGCAGGCAGGGTTGGTGGGTTCAGCTAAGTGGTCAGCAGTGTGGTGCAGGCGAGGTTGCAGAGGGAAAGAAATCACTGGTGTCTGCCGTGTGTGCGCGTGTCTGTACAATTGTGTGTGTGTGTGTGTGTGTGTGTGTGTGTGTGTGTGTGTGCGCGCGCGCTTGTGCATGCGTGTGCGCATGTGCGCATGTGTGCGTGTGTATGTGGGTGCATATTTGCATGGCACGACGGGCACGACGCATATTTGCATATGTGTGAAGTACCAAACTGGCCCAGGGATGTGAATGGCTTCTGATTAGACTGAACAGCCCTTGTGTGTGTGCGTGTGCATGACAGGACGGAGACAAGTACCGGACTGGCCCAGCGATATGGATTCGCTTCTGTTTAGACTGATCAGCCCCTTGTGTGTGTGTGTGCGTCCGTGTGCATGGCAGGACGGAGACAAGTACCCTGACTGGCCCAGTGATTTGGACGAGAAGCCTACAGAGTGGCAGTGGTGGGTGGAGGCAGTCAAGTCCATTAAAGACCTTGGCACCACGCACTTCAAGGTGAGAAAGTGGGGATCGTTTCAACGGGCTTATGAGTCAAAGCACTTCAGGGTAAGAGCGGCTTCCGGGCGCCTAAAGTCATCTTCGTGTGAACATCGCATGAAGTGAGACCATTCCAGGCACACAATCCGCCTCAAGAATCAGTGGTGGGTGGAGGCAGTCAAGTCCAGCGAGGTCCATCTAAGCTGGAGTCTAGTTTCTTTTGAGAATGCTCTTTGTCTATACACTTATGAGGATCCCTTTCTGAAGTCAGTTCTCAAAAGGGACTCAAGAATCATGGTGGACAAAGGCAGTAAAGACCAACAGGGTTCGTCCGAGCTGGAGTGTAATTTTTTCGTTCATGCTCCCTCTTTGCAGAATGGTGACTACCGCATGGCGTTCCGGCGGTACCGCAAGGCCATGGTATATCTGGACAAGGCATGGGACATGAAGGACATCCCAGGAGGTATGCTTGTGTGTTCTGCTGGATGCGAGCGAGCTCTTGGTGCCACTTTGTGAGTCGAGTAAAAATCCTCTCATCGTGCAAGGCCACGGTGTATCTGGACAAGGCGTGCTGGTTGTTGAGATTTCTTAAGAACAAGGCGTGGGACATGAAGGACATCTCTGGCTGGCGGTACGCTTGTGTACTGTGCTGGCAGCAAGCGAGCTCTTGGTGCCACTCGGGTTCTGTGTTGTGTGTTGTGTGTTGTGTGTTGTGTGTTGTGTGTTGTGTGTTGTGTGTTGTGTGTTGTGTGTGTTGCGGCATTTGATTTTGCCAATGGAGTGCAAGTCCATGGTGGTGTGTTTTCTCTCTCCATGTGTGGCTTCATGCACTTGTTTCCGAGGCTCCAAAGAAACGAAGTCTCATTAAGTAGCTGTTAAGTGCAAGGCTATGCTGTGGCGTGCTGTTGTTGCCCACCTCTCCTGTTGCCGTGCCATATCAGAATCTCCTTTCCTTCATCCGTCATGTTCCCCCCCCCCCCTCTTCCCTTTGCCTGTTATCAGAGACTCTGGAGGAGCTGCACACCATCAGGGACGCCCTTCTCAACAACTACGCGGTGAGGAGCGGTTGGTTGTGGGCTGTGTGAGGTGTGCGGTGTGGAGTGTGTGAGGTGCGGGTGTGTGAGATGTAATGTCCCCCATCTTCCTGCCTTTTATCAGAGACTCTGTTAGGGACGCCCTTCTCAACAACTACGCGGTGAGGAGCAGTTGGTTGTTGGGTGTGTGAGGTGTGCGGTGTGGAGTGTGTGAGGTGTGATGTCCCCTATCTTCCTGTCTGTTACCAGAGACTCTGGAGGAGCTGCACAGCATTAGGGACGCTCTTCTTAACAACTACGCGGTGAGGAGCGGTTGGTTGTGTGACGGCGAATGTATGATTCAGCCAAAACGAGCTGTTTCTGGTTGTACTCTCTTGGTCATCCTGTTTCCCCTGAAAAACAAACAGGGATCCATCGGTCTTACTCCACTCTGACACCCTTCTCAACGTGATGAGGGGGTAGCTGTGAGCAGCTGGGGGGTGTGAGAGCGCAGCTTCAACAATTCTTTCCTTCGCGTTGTGGTGTGTCACTTGGTGCTCCTCTCCCCAGGCGTGCAAACTGAAGCGCGGGGACTTTGACGGTGCCATTGAGGACAGCAGCTCGGTGCTATCGAGAAATGAGAACAATGCGAAAGCACTCTTCAGACGCGCCCAGGTATGAATGTGTCTTTCCTTAGGCCACTATTCCTCTCAACAGGGTATATAATAAAGCACGGAAATATCTTATTCGCTTGAAGAGAATCTATGTGTGCTTAGGCATGAACATCCCTGTTTGTTTTGTGGCTTGGCAGGCGTATTTGGGTCGCAATGAGTTGGAACCAGCAATTGCTGACCTGACACAGGCACTGAAGGTTGAACCGAATGATGGTATGTTGAATGAGACTCACCATATTGCTGTGGATTGTTAGGGATTGCTGGCATAGCTGAGACTCCATCTTCTTCAATGCTCTGCTGTTGTTAGTCATGTTGTGCGTTATAATGTATGAGCAGGTGGAATCAAGAGAGAGCTTGCGGCTGCCAAAAAAAAGGTGAGTGATTGCAGTATAGTGAGTATAATGATTTGAAATTACATTTCAACTCATGTTTGGCGTCCCTTTCCTTGCAGCTGGCAACAAGGAAGGAAAAGGAGAAGGCTGCATACGCTAAAATGTTTGGTTGAGGTGCAAGAAATAGTACTGTACCCCGGAAAACGATAAATTATATAGAATCCTTTCTGACTTGTCGAGCAGACATTTTGTTGATCAAAGCTGGTTGGTCACAAAGCCGCCAATTGACAGTCGTGAGTCGCCACGCAGTTGCTGCGTCAGCACAGCCGCAGAGCCCGTGCCTCAGGGACACCTCACATCTGTACAGTACACAAGCTGACCGAACGCTTTTTGGTGATTCCGCGAATCCTCACCGTGTTTTGAGCAAATTCATCCAATCGGATGGTCAACGAATATGTTCTCAAGGTACACCCGACCGGATAATGCCGTACTTCTAGTGTTTACAGTACTCTTGCGACTTGTTCGTCGGCTCTTCGCGCACATCGTGAGGTGCAGAAGGCAGTCCTGCCACCGCTGTCAAACAGAATCTATACTTTCGCTAGCTGGTTACCACGAAGCTGTCCGAAGTGACAGTATTCAGTACGCACCTGTGACCTGACACAGACCTCCTAGTTGCCAACGAAAACTTTCTGGATAAGTTTTTTATAGACATTGGCTGCCGTCGCACGTCAACTGCCACGGGGTAGAAACTCGGAGCTTTCACTGCTTAGGAAGACCGTCACAGGACCGTTTGAATGGGAATTTACGTTATCAAACTATCTTACTACTTCGCCATGTAGCCACGTTTGCCTTCGGGGTGATAGGTTAAACGGTTTCGAAAACCGCTAACACGACTTTGTCACCGTGATTAGCCATGCCAACGGTAGACTTGGAGACTGGGCAGTTTAGGAGCAGCCCTTAGTTCGTCACCTTCATCGATTAGTGTGTTCTTTGCCCTTTCCGTCAGCTTCCTGCCATCTAGTTAGGTTATCTTTTATCTCGTACCACGAATTACGCTTTTTTGCAACATGGCCGATTTAAAGACGGATTTGAAGAAGCCGCTGCTCCCCCCGCGCAGACCCCCCGTACCCACAATCAACCCCCCGCAACACCCCCCAGCCGGCGGGCTCTCCGCCGTTCTCCCGGTTCCCCCGCAAGCCCAGTTCCGCCTAGGCGGAAAACCCCCACCTGCTCCAGCTCCCTCCGCCGCTCCAGTATCCCCGCACCTCTCGCCGCTACTCACGCCGCATTTCACGGGCGCTGCCGCCAGTAGGGACCTAGGCTCCGCGTCGTCCACTTCCGGATCCATAGCATCGGGGGGAACGGGAGGCAGCGTGGTTGCCAACGGCGTGCGGGGAGGCGGAGGCGGAGGGGTAGGCGGAGGGGTAGGCGGAGGGTTAGGGGGAGGGGGAGGGGTAGGCGGAGGGTTCGGGGGAGCGGGGGTTCCGCCTCCGCCTGTGGGGGCGAAGAAGAAGCGCGGACAGGGCGTGCGGTCGTGGATTCGAATCGACCCGTCGGGGGAAGTGAGCATCCTGGAAGTGGATAAAGGCACCCTGATGCGAAGGTGCGTGAGGGAGAGAGGAAGTCGGGGGGAGGGATGGGAGGAAGATAGGAGAGGTAAGCGGGAGGAAGAAAGGAAGGCGTCGAGAGGAAGTTAGCATCCTGGAAGTGGATAAAGGCACCCTGATGCGACGGTGAGGGAGGGAGAGGGGGGGAATTGGCAGAGGGAGGAAGGGAGGGAGGGAAAGAGGGAGGAAGGGGAGAACAGGGACCAGAGTTAAAGGTTAGGAATGGACAAAGGGGAGACAGAGGGGAGAAATGCATTCGGTACTCCGCATGTTTGTAGAGAGGATTTGACTTGTCAGTCTGTGCGTTTCCCTTCCCATCGTCAGATGAGACCTGCCTGGGCGAGACCTCCGCCTGTTGGACCCGGTGTTTGTGTACCTGTCCACCATCCTGGGGCGAGAGCACGCTGATAGGCGCGTCTTACCCCCCCTTTCCCAGGTCCAACCCCCCTTAATCCTTTCCACCACTCTCCACCGCCAGATGTGATCTCCCCGGTCGAGACCTGCGGCTTCTGCCAGTGTTTGTGTACCCGTCCACCATCCTGGGGCGAGAGCACGCTGATAGACGCGTCTAACGCCCCCCCTTTCCCAGCTCCAGCCCCTCTCAATCCTCCCCACCGCTTTCCACTCTTCTCCACCGCTCTCCACCACCAGATGCGACCTCCCCGGGCGAGACCTGCGGCTGCTGGACCCGGTGTTTGTGTATCCGTCCACCATCCTGGGACGAGAGAACGCTGATAGACGCGTCTAATTCCCCCTTTCCCAATTCCTGCCCCACTTTTCCCTTTCCACCGCTCTCCACTACTCTCCACCACCAGATGTGATCTCCCCGGGCGAGACCTGCGGCTGCTGGACCCGGTGTTTGTGTACCCGTCCACCATCCTGGGGCGAGAGCGAGCCATGGTGGTGAATCTGGAGAGCATTCGCTGCATTATCACAGCCGACGAGGTGCTCCTGCTCCATGTGACGGACCCTGCCGTGCAGCAGGTATGTGGCAGTGTGGGGCAAGATATGGTTCAAGCATGGGTGCGGTGGACCGGTGGTGGTGAGTGGGAACTTGGAGAGCATCCGCTGCATCACCACTGCGGACGAGGTGCTTCTGCTCCATGTTACAGACCCTGCCGTGCAGCAGGTAAGCACTGTGAGGTAATATGAACGAAGGATGGGATCAGTGGTGGTGAATCTGGAGAGCATCCGCTGCATCATTACTGCCGACGAGGTGCTCCTGTTGAACGTCACCGATCCTGCCGTGCAGCAGGTAAGTAACTGTATGCAGGGATTCTGTGCTTGCATCGATGGTATGACCTAAACATGCATGTGGACCGTGATGGTGGTGAATCTGGAGAGCATCCGCTGCATCATCACGGCAGACGAGGTGCTTCTGTTGAATGTTACTGACCCTGCCGTGCAACAGGTGGGTACCTGTGTGTAGGGGGTTTTGTGCTTGAACCGATGGTATGAGTTAAAACATGGGTGTGGTGGTGGTTTCTGGGGATTTGGAGAGCATTCGCTGCATCATCATCTTGCATCTCCAACCCCTCGTGCTTCCCCTTACCTCACCCCGCAGTTCAAGCAAGCTCTGCAGCGGCGGCTACTGCTGGGCATGGCTGCTCCGTCCGACTTCAGAGTGGCGTGGAGGTGAGGGGGGGGGGTGAGCAAAGAGGGGCGGGGGTGAGGAGGTGTGAGGGGTGCTGGAGGGCTGGAGGGCTGGTGAGGTATGGAGCTCATGCAGTGTGCTGCTCGGCATGGCTGCTCCGTCCGACTTCAGAGTGGCGTGGAGGTGAGGGGGGGGTTGGGGATGAGGGGTTGGGGGGTTGAGGGGTGGCGTGGCGGTGGGGGATGTGTGGGTGCGGGCGGGGTGGGGATGATCAGTGAACGGTGGAGGTAAGGGGGATTTGGATGAGGGATGGTGGTGAGGGATGGGAATGAGCGGTGGAGGTGAGGATTGGAGGTGAGGGTGTGGCGGTGAGTAAGGGAGGTGAGGGGTGGAGGTGAAGGGAGACAAGTGAAGCATGGAGCTGATGCTGTGCGTCAGTCAGACAGTGTAATAATCCCACTTCAGCCCCTCATTTCTTGCTTCGACTCGCAGCCTCAGCTAACTGCGCATGCTTCTTTGCTCTGCCTTTCTCCTCTGCTTCTCTCTATTCCCCCTAAACCCCCCCCTCCCCTCCTCCGCCTCGCCCCCTGCCCCTTTTCTTCCACCCCTCGTGATGGCACTTGATTGCTGTGTGCCTTGTGCTGCAGAACGGAGAGGCCTGGCGAGAATGGCTTCACACTCGATGCTCCAGACGCCAGCATTCAGAGGTGAGGGCACGCGCGCTTTTTGGTAAAGATACTTTCACGGCTAATAAGAGGCAGCTTAAAAAGCGAGAATGGCTTCACACGCGATGCTTCAGATGCCAGCATTCAGAGGTGAGAAAGGGCAAGCTTGCTGTGGGACAGCAGTGCTTACTTTTTCCCAGCTCTACCAGCTTAGTGGGCATGACACGTAGCGTAGGCATGACAGGAAGGTGGTTGCGAGCCTGTTGTGTGACCTGCATTATCTTTGTCTGGTCTGATTGGATGTGTGTATATCCTTCGCCTCTTGTCCTGCTCCCCTCTGCTCTTGATCTCTCATCACCACTTTTCACCGCCCTTCACCACTCTCCATCCTCCTCTCAGACGCGAGATTAGCAGTGAGGACATGTTCAGCGGGGCGGGCAGCACAGCAGAGGAGGACGACCTGCCCTTCGAGTTTAAAGCCCTTGAACTCCCCTTACTGCTCTCCTGCTCTGCCTTTGTTCACCTCTCTTCACCCCTTTTTACGCCTCTTCACTCCTCTGCACCGCCTTCCACCGCTTTCCACTCCTCTTCACCGCTCTGCATCCCTCCCCCAGACGCGAGATCAGCAGTGAGGACATGTTCAGCGGGGCGGGCAGCACAGCAGAGGAGGACGACCTGCCCTTCGAGTTCAAAGCCCTTGAACTCGCACTCGAGCTCTCCTGCTCCGGTCTCGACCGCCAGGTCAGCCAGATGTATGCTAGGTTATATACATCCAAGCCATATACTTTGTGCTCTACCCTACACTTTGTGTTTGGATGATGCGTTTACACTCTGACACCACACCATATAGAGTTTTGAGACGTCTCAAAGCTGCCAAGGAGCTCTGCTCTCGTGCTCTGCACTGGAGCAGCAGATCGGATTTGAGATGTTTGCTTTTCATTGTTTGTTACCCTCCACCTGTCCGACCACAGGCGCAGGAGCTAGCACAGGAGGCGTACCCATTATTGGAGCGCCTAGCGTTTCAGATCAGCACGACCAACCTGGAGCTCGTGAGACGCATCAAGAGCAGCTTGCTCGGCCTCACCCGCCGTGTGCAAAAGGTATCACCTCGCCCGTCCCCCAGCCGCGTGCAGAGATTACCAACCCCACCCTCTTCGCTTTCTGCTTTGCCACATGCACACATATACCCCTTGTTTCCTCCCACTGTCATCTCTCTATCATCTTCTACCATCCCTCCCTGCCCTGGCCCTACCTATACCCCTGGGCAGGTGCGGGACGAGACAGGGCAACTGATGGGCGACGATGGGGACCTGGCAGAGATGTTACATCTTTCTGCGCTTCTGAGTGTTGCACCTCACTCAGAAGCGCAGAATGATGTACCATCTTAGCAACACACACCGACTTCCCTGTTTACCCCTGTTCACCCATGTCCACCCTCTGTCAAACCCTGTCAACCCCTTCTAACCCCCTGGGCAGGTGAGGGACGAGATAGAGCAGCTGATGGACGACGATGGGGACATGGCGGAGATGTACCTCACTCAGAAGCGCCCTGTCATCCCCTCTTACTCCTTCTCCCCTTCTCACCCCCTACTACCACCATTGTCAACCGCTTCCCCCCCCTGTGGCGGGCAGGTGAGGGACGAGATAGAGCAGCTGATGGACGATGACGGAGACATGGCAGGGATGTACCTCACTCAGAAGCGCACTGTCATCCCCTCTCATCCCCTCAACCCTTTCTCACCCATTCTCACCCTTTGTCACCCCTGCTACTACCCTCTGGGCAGGTGCGGGACGAGATAGAGCAGCTGATGGACGACGATGGGGACATGGCGGAGATGTACCTCACTCAGAAGCCCAGCGGCAAGGCCTCTTGCCCTCTGTCACCCACCCCACCCACCCCACTCACCCCTTGTCAACCCTTCTCACCCCTTCTAACCCTCCCGTAGGTGCGCGACGAGATAGAGCAGCTGATGGACGACGATGGGGACATGGCGGAGATGTACCTCACTCAGAAGCCCAGCGGCAAGGCCTCTTGCCCTCTGTCACCCACCCCACCCACCCCACTCACCCCTTGTCAACCCTTCTCACCCCTTCTAACCCTCCCGTAGGTGTGCGACGAGATAGAGCAGCTGATGGACGACGATGGGGACATGGCGGAGATGTACCTCACTCAGAAGCCCAGCGGCAAGGCCTCTTGCCCTCTGTCACCCACCCCACCCACCCCACTCACCCCTTGTCAACCCTTCTCACCCCTTCTAACCCTCCCGTAGGTGCGCGACGAGATAGAGCAGCTGATGGACGACGATGGGGACATGGCGGAGATGTACCTCACTCAGAAGCCCAGCGGCAAGGCCTCTTGCCCTCTGTCACCCACCCCACCCACCCCACTCACCCCTTGTCAACCCTTCTCACCCCTTCTAACCCTCCCGTAGGTGTGCGACGAGATAGAGCAGCTGATGGACGACGATGGGGACATGGCGGAGATGTACCTCACTCAGAAGCCCAGCGGCAAGGCCTCTTGCCCTCTGTCACCCACCCCACCCACCCCACTCACCCCTTGTCAACCCTTCTCACCCCTTCTAACCCTCCCGTAGGTGTGCGACGAGATAGAGCAGCTGATGGACGACGATGGGGACATGGCGGAGATGTACCTCACTCAGAAGCCCAGCGGCAAGGCCTCTTGCCCTCTGTCACCCACCCCACCCACCCCACTCACCCCTTGTCAACCCTTCTCACCCCTTCTAACCCTCCCGTAGGTGCGCGACGAGATAGAGCAGCTGATGGACGACGATGGGGACATGGCGGAGATGTACCTCACTCAGAAGCCCAGCGGCAAGGCCTCTTGCCCTCTGTCACCCACCCCACCCACCCCACTCACCCCTTGTCAACCCTTCTCACCCCTTCTAACCCTCCCGTAGGTGCGCGACGAGATAGAGCAGCTGATGGACGACGATGGGGACATGGCGGAGATGTACCTCACTCAGAAGCCCAGCGGCAAGGCCTCTTGCCCTCTGTCACCCACCCCACCCACCCCACTCACCCCTTGTCAACCCTTCTCACCCCTTCTAACCCTCCCGTAGGTGCGCGACGAGATAGAGCAGCTGATGGACGACGATGGGGACATGGCGGAGATGTACCTCACTCAGAAGCCCAGCGGCAAGGCCTCTTGCCCTCTGTCACCCACCCCACCCACCCCACTCACCCCTTGTCAACCCTTCTCACCCCTTCTAACCCTCCCGTAGGTGCGCGACGAGATAGAGCAGCTGATGGACGACGATGGGGACATGGCGGAGATGTACCTCACTCAGAAGCGCCTGCTGGCAGAGGAGCGCAGCGAGGGACACCGCGACGACGCCAGCGACCACTCGCACACACCCAGGGAGTCGCTTGGCGGGTTTGGGTCTTCCATCTCTGCTCCGGTGTCCCCTGCTGGCTCTCCACCGAAACATGTGAGTTGGGTTATAGAGGGACGGGAGGGGCGAGAGCGAGCGACTGGGGGGGCACCAGGATGATGGCAGCGACCACTCGCACACGCCGAGAGAGTCGCTTGGGGGGTTTGGGTCGTCCATCTCTGCTCCGGTGTCCCCGCTATATCGAAATCACTTTTGAGAATTCTCAAAAGTGATTTTGCCGAGAGAGTCGCTTGGGGGGTTTGGGTCTTCCATCTCTGCTCCTGTGTCGCCTGCTGGCTCGCCGCCGAAACATGTGAGTCCTTGCAGTGGTTGAGACGACCACAGTGACCAGTCGCACTCACACTCGTACTCGCACCCACACGAGCCCAGGGAGTCTCTTGGAGGGTTCGGGTCTTCCATCTCTGCTCCGGTCTCCCCAGCTGGCTCGCCGCCGAAACATGTGATTCCTTTTAGTGGTTGAGACGACCACAGCGACCGCTCACACTCGCACCCGCACTCGCCCAGAGAGCCGCTCGGGGGGTTTGGGACTTCCATCTCTGCTCTCCCCTGCTGGCTCGCCAGCCGAAACATGTGGGTCGGCCTGTTTTGTGTGTGTGTGTGTGTGTGTGTGTGTGGTGTGTGTGTGTGTGTGTGGTGTGTGTGTGTGTGTGTGTGTGTGTGTGTGTGTTTTCCCCTTTATTTTTTTGTATCGTGTGAGTTGGCTCGCTTTTTAGGAGCCCCAAAAGTCACGGATAGGAGCAGCACCATCCATCAGCTTCTGGAGCGGCGCTCACAGTGCGAGTGACAGCACGGCAACAAGCATGGGGAACGCAGAGGAACTTGAGATGCTGCTGGAGCCTGGAGGCATACTTTGTTGTAAGTGACGGCACACTCAACTAGCTGACGCCCACCCCTCCTTCCCGTTTCCCCTCCCCGCACTCACACTCTTCCCTCCCACAATGAACCACAGGGAAGCCACTACTTGGATGGTCGCCCTTCTGGGTTAGGCCCTGCCCCGTCGATCAGCTTCTGGAGCGGCGCGCACAGTGCCAGCGACAGCACGGCAACGAGTGTTGAAAATGTGGAGGAACTTGAGATGCTGCTGTAGGCATACTTTGTGGTGATTGACGGCACGCTGAACAAGCTGACGCCCACGCCCTCCTTCCCGCTTCTTGTCCCCTCTTCATCCCGCAATGAACCACAGGGAAGCCACTACCTGGACGGCCGGCCATCAGGCCTGGGCCCTGCTCCATCGATAAGCTTCTGGAGCGGCGCGCACAGCGCCAGCGACAGCACGGCGACAAGCGTTGAGAACGTGGAGGAACTGGAGATGCTGCTGGAGGCATACTTTGTTGTGATTGACGGCACGCTCAACAAGCTGACGCAGCTGTCGCAATACATTGACGACACGGAGGATTTTATCAACATTCAGCTGGATAACGTGCGGAATCAGCTCATTCAATTCGAGCTCGTCATGACCACCGCTGGTGAGTGTATGGTTGCTGCCCCCTGCTGGTGTTTGTGTGCCTCCTGTCTGGGCTGGGTCAAGGGCCTCAACAACCTGTCGCAGCTGTCGCAATACATTGACGACACGGTGGATTTCATCAACATTCAGCTGGATAACGTGCGGAATCAGCTCATCCAATTCGAGCTCGTCATGACCACCGCTGGTGAGTGGGTGTGTGTGTGGCTCCTCTTGCTGCTAGTTTTGGGCCCTTTCCTCTTGCTGCTGGTGAGTGTATGCCTGGATGAAGCCTCAACAAGCTGACGCAGCTGTCGCAGTACATTGACGACACGGAGGTCTTCGAGCTGGTTTTTGAGAATTCTCACAAACCAACATTGACGGCACGGAGGACTTCATCAACATCCAGCTGGATAATGTTCGGAACCAACTGATTCAGTTCGAACTCGTCATGACCACTGCGGGTGAGTGGGTGGTTAGTGCCTCCCCTAAGGTGTAGGGGTCCGTTGCATGGTGGTGCTGGTGCGTGCATGGAGTGTGAGTTGGGGCGCATGAGGAGTCGAGATGCCTGCTGTGGAATTGATGGCACGCTCAGCAAGCTCACGCAGCTGTCGCAATACATTGATGACACAGAGGATTTCATCAACATCCAGCTGGATAACGTGCGGAACCAGCTCATCCAATTTGAGCTCGTTATGACCACCGCTGGTGAGTGGGTGTGTGTGTGGCTCCTCTTGCTGCTAGTTTTGGGCCCTTTCCTCTTGCTGCAGTCCCAGGCCCCTGCTACCAATCACCTCTCTGCTTCTCCCCTCACCTTCTGTTTCTGCTGCTTGCTGCTATCCCCATTTCCTGCTGCTCCCACAATCCGTTGGCAGGGTTTGTGGTGGCGCTGTGGGGGGTGATAGCGGGCACGTTTGGGATGAACGTGCCGCTGGGATTGGAGGAGGACCCATACGCCCTCAAGTGGATCCTCATTGACTCGGGCGTGGGGGGCGTCCTAATCTTCCTCGCCTTCCTCGCCTTCTTCCGTTACAAGAACTGGACCATCACTTGACGTGAGCTCCGGGCGATCATGAACAGTTTCTAAATTGTCCTCACCTTCCTCCTAACCTCCTCACCTTCCGCCTCCTCACCTTCCTCGCCTTCTTTCGATACAAGAACTGGACCATCACATGATGTGAGCACAACACCTTCACATAAATGATGCGAGCAACCCGAAATGCGCCTACGGAGCTACAGCGGTGTTTCCATCTCCTTCACTGCCCCTCCTCCTCCTCCTCCTCCTCAACCTATTTTTGGTGCGAGGATTGACATGGGAAATACTACAGCTACAACTCCGGAGTCCTCAACCTTTGGCTGGCTTCTTCAACTTCCGCCCCTTACCCTCCTCCCTCTCTTTCCTCGCCTTCTTCCGCTTCAAGAGCTGGGCCGTCACACGATGTGAGCACTGGGCACTCGCGTGACAGGATCACAATTCACAAAATTGTAATGCAACGCAATACGTCTGAAATTCGAATGATATAGCAGCAGCTGGGCGGTGCCTGAGTGTGGGCCCCGTGACATGTACCATGTACTGTACCATTGCAGTAACACTGAATTTTGTTCAATTCAAAAGCTCTTGTAAAAAGGCTATCATAAGGTGCTAAGGATTTCCAAAGTGGCTATTTCAATTCTTAGTTGAAGGCTAGATATCTGCATTTGTATGCAAATGTAGCGTCGAGTTGATTCATAGGTACAAGAAAGGTCTTTAGGGCGTGTAAAATCGGCGTGCATTTTAAAAAATGGGGTTTGGCCGGGTTTTTGTCGACCAAATGGTCGACACTTCTTTCGCACATGTCGACCTGATGGCCGAATTAGAGTTGACCAGTTTGCAGGCCGAATTGCTGGCCGACTCCAGAAAACTTGTAAAATTTGCAAGTGCTACAGTAGGAACGTTTGTGCGACGGGGTCGCACATATGACGGCGAAGTCTCTGATTCGACAAGAGAAAATAATCTGTCGTTTTGCGAGACTGTGCGACGTCGCACGTGACAGTCGCTCACGGAGTCGACTACTTGGCCGAATTGGAGTCGACATGGTGTCGAATTCGAGTCGACTTTCAAAACGGCCATCAATTTCGTTTTTTATTCGCGAAATTTGCGATGGTCGCGAGCGTCTTCGTGAAACTCGCAAACGGGTTACTTTCGCCAATTCGGCCATTCGGCTTGTGGCCGAATTTTTAGGTGCAGCGATTTTACACGCCCTTATGTTGTTTCCATAACAATCCCATTGTTTGTGGCCGAAGGAGGAAGGTTAACCAATTGCAGAAAAGGAGCCTTTATACCTATTGATAGGGTGGAATTTAATATGCTAGTAGTACTTACAGTACACTAGTGCACTGGGGCGACTGCCCTATGTTAAAGCACTACGTTTGCTATCTGCAACAGTTGCAACATCAACATTATTCGGCAAGCTAAGTATGATTGCCACATCGTAAGCTTGAGCTGAGCAATAATGGCCATATTTATTGAATGGCTGCATCCAAGTCGTCGCCTCTAGGTCTGCTTGGCAGGCGAAGCAGGTGATTGCCACATGGCAGGTTTGAGCTGAGCAATGATGACTGTCATGTTATCCAGGCCTAGAGGCGATGAGTGCGCATCCTTAGCGATGCATGCGTCCATGAGCTGTGAACATATGTCCGTTAGCGGTACCTGGGAGGAGGAAAGGGGAGATGAGATGATGAGGCGATGAGTGAGCGTCCTTGGCAATGCATGCGTCCATGAGCTGTGCGCATATGTCCGTTAGAGGTACCTGGGAGGGAGAGGAGAGGACGCACAACGTGAAGTGCCAACACGATCAGTGATGAGTGATGAGATAATGAGATGAGATGAGATGATGAGGTGATGAGTGTGCATCTTTGGCAATGCATGTGTTCATGAGCTGTGCACACATGTCCGTTAGAGGCACATGGCTCCCACACTGCAACAGTGCGCACTCACCTCGTTCGCCAGCCTTGACCGCACGAACGTGACCACAGCTTGGCTTGACATCACGTCCCTGCACACAGGCAGGAGGACGGGAGGGCGCACAGGCAGGGAGGCAGCAACGGATGCATGAGGGGGAGCGAACAGTCAGCGCGGTGATATGAGAGTCATAACGTACTGGTTAGAATGATTGGTATCGAGCCGTAACTTTGAGTAGTAGAGACTGACCAGAAACCCCTGCAGGCGCTACCGCAAAGCAATCTGTAGGAGTGGCAGATTCACCGTATGCCATCGCAAGCAAGAACAACGAACTCGTCCTTCTCCAACACAACGAGGTACATCCTGAACAACCATAGGTTGGGAAATGCTAGCAGGGCCTGAAAGGGGGCTTGGCGAGGCACATCCTGAGCAACCCTGTACAGACTCACCATATGCCGTCGCATGCAAGCACGATGAACTCGTCCTTCTCCGACAGATCAATCTGCGGCAACAGAGGGCGCGGCAATCTTGCAAGTTAGAATTAGAACAAAAAAACAAACAAACAAACAAACAAACAAACAAAAAAACGCCCATAGGGAGCGGCTGGTGTGAAGTGAATCCGACTTGGCGGCAAGTGCTTACGGATTTAACTTCTGGTAGTGCGGTGACTGCTTGCTTCTCTGGTGGTAAATCGGGCCTGTGCTTGTACTCCATGTCTCCTGCTCACACAGTCACACACGCAGTCACACAGTCACACACACATACACACGGACGGGTACATGCAAACACGAGTGTTGAGACGTCTCAAAACTGCCAGTGCAGTCACTGCACTCTTAAGTAAAAGCTATTCCGAGAAACATCGGGCCTGTACCACGCTGATCTGTCACTCCGACACGAATTCTCCTGCCTGCTCTCCACTCATCCGGCATGGTGGGCTTGTGGCCTCGAGACATCTCCATTGCGGGGAAAATGAGAGGGAGAAGGAAGAATTGGGTTGTTCTTACCTAGAGCACGGGAGAGGTTGAGGCAGCCGTCTATCCGTCCGTCTGAGACGAATTTCCCCGCCTGCTCTATCCTTCTCCTCTCCTCTGGCATGGTGGGCTTGTGATCTCGAGACATCTCCACCGCCTCTTCCCCCCGGCTCACCACACACACACCGTGCAGGGCAGAGAAAGGCGGAGCTTACCTAAACCACGAGAGAGGTTGAGGCAGCCGTCTATCCGTCCGTCTGAGACGAATTTCCCCGACTCTTCAATTCTTCTCCTTTCCTCCGGCATGGTGGGCTTGTGGTCTCGAGACATCTCCACCGCCTCGCCCCCCCGGCTCACCACACACCGCGAGTCGCCCGCATTCGCCACCACCAGCTGTTGTCCTGCTATCACCGCTACCACTGCTGTGCACCCTGCTTCGGGACCTCTGTACTCCTTCTTGGGTGTGCCTTTTTTTACCATGAAAATTGGCTGGTGGGCGTGCATGGAGAGGGGGTGGGGGGGATTGGGAAGGGATAGGATGGATGAAGAGGGGCTAGTGGTCTCGAGACATCTCCACCGCTTCGCCTTCCCAGGATGAAGGAGGGGCTTGGGATTCCCCACACACCGCCTCGCCGCTGCGGCTCACCACACACCGCGAGTCGCCCGCATTCGCCACCACCAGCTGTTGTCCTGCTATTACCGCTACTACCGCCATGCACCCTGCCTCGGGTCCCCGGTAAGTCTTCTGGGGTGTGCTTTTCTTTACCATGACGATTGGCTGCTTGGCGTGCATGTGATGTGGGGGTGAAGGGAGAGGGGGGGAGGGAAGGGAGTGGGGGAGTGGGTTGGGGGGAGTGGGACGAGCCTGCCTGCATTCGCCATCACCAGCTGACGCCCAGCCACCATTGCAACTACCACTGTGCCTCCATCTCGCTAGTTTTTTTAGGGTGTTCGTCTCCTTACCGCGCACAACCACACACCACCACACACCATCACACACTACCACACACTACCACGCACTACCGCACACACCTTTGAGCCCTCATCGTCCTCCTCATCCTCTTCCTCCAACTCCTCAACTCCAGTCCCCTCCTGCCCTTCCTCTCCTTGCTGCGCTACCATCTCAGTGTCGCCCTCCCCCTCCTCTCCCTCTTTTACCTCCTTCCCCTCCTCACTCTGCTCTTTCTTTCTCCCTTCATTCCCACTCTCCTCCCCCTCCTTCCTCTCCTCTCCCTCCCTTTCTCCACCTTTCACCCCTCCTTCATCCGCCTTCTCCTTCTCTACCCCGTCTCCTCCCTTGCTCTTCGCCCGTCCTTTACCCTTTGCTACTCTGCCCTTCCCATCCTTGCCATTCTGCCCCTCCTTCCCCTCCTCCCGTTTCCCTCCATCCTCCTCCCCTTTCCCCTTCTCCTTCTTCTCCTTCTCCTCCTTCTCCTTCTCTTCTTTCGCTCGCCTAACAACGTCAGCGAGGAACATCTTGATGAGGCTTGATGACAGCGATGACGAATGCACGCGTGCCCTCGCCCCTCCCCCCTTCCGCTCGCCCTCCCTTTTCCTCTTGCTCGCTTTCTTCTTCTTCTTCCGCCCACCACTCTCACCCTTCTCCTCACCGCTCTCCACCTTCTCCTCACCGCTCTCAACCTTCTCCTCACCGCTCTCAGCCTTCTCCTCACCACCCTCACCCTCCTTCTCCTTCCCCTCGCCCTTCTCCTCGTCCTCTGCAGATGCGCCCTTCCCCTGTGCCACTAACGCGCTCGTGCTTCTCCTGGGCTTTGATTTCCGCTTTGCTCTGCTTCTCCCTCCCTGCTCCTTCTCCGCTCCCCCATTGTTCTCCCCCCCCTGCTCCACACCTTTGCATCCAACCGTTTCATTTGCTCCACTCTCCGAGCCATTTTGCATCCTTTCTAGCCCTTCAGTACCAATCCCATCACCCCCTCCTTTCCTGTCCTTTTCCGCCCCTGTCTTGCCCTCTGCTGCGTCTGCTCTGCTCTCCAACGCCCCGCCCTTAGGCCCCTTTCCTACCACCTCCCCACCACTATCCGCCTCTTCCCCTTCCTCATCCTCCTCATCCTCTTCTTCTTCCTCCTCACCCTCCTCTCCTTCCTCCTCTTCCTCCTCTTCCTCCTCCTCTTCCCCCTCCTCCTCCTCATCTTCCCCCTCTTCCTCCTCTTCCTCCTCTTCCTCCTCTTCCTCCTCTTCCTCTTCCTCCTCCTCCTCCTCACCAGCCCCGAACACAGAGGCAACGAGCGCGCTGCGTTCGCCCTCGCCTCGGCGCGCTTCTCTTTCCTCCTGCCGCAGCCGCGCGTCCTCGCTCTCCTTCCCCTCGCTCGCCAGCTGCTGCAGTTCCGCCCGGTGCTCCTCGCGCGCCATCATCTCGTCCATTCTGCAGACCAAGTAACGAATATCATGTACATTTATGTTTTCAAAATTGTAATAAAATAATATTATATATCTATATGCAAGTCGTCCAGAATGGGGGAAGACAAAAACAGTGGTTCCTGCTTGGATGGCTCAGTGCGACCGTAAGGCGCGAGAATAGGAAAGCAGTGGTGGACGATGGGACAACACTGTCGCAGAAACCGACGGTCCACAGAAACAAAACGGGACTAGCGGCAAGGTAAGCCATGTTTCAGGAAACGCCGGGATTCATGGAGAACAAAAAAAAAAAAAAAAAAAAAAAAAAAAAGCGCACTTAAAGAAGGTGGCTATGAGGGCCTTGGGAATATCCCCCGGGTTGGCCTCGAGAGCCGTTGCCAGCTGTGCTGGTAGGTGCCGCCCACAGAAGGCTGCCACCTCGCTGCCTGCCGCGGGAACATGTGGGCGAAATGGGAAGGAAGAGAGGGTCAAACAACTGTGCAACCTGCCATGGGAATGTGCTAGGGCGATGCTTAAAAAAAGGACACGGAGGTGTTGATACACGAGAAATGCGACGGAAATGGGACTCGTTAAAAGGCGTCCCGTTGCACGTGAGTGGGCATAGGGATGCACGATGAGCTCACCCCCGTGACCGTCGAAAACAGCGAACACCTCTGGACGTCCATCCCCGTTAATATCCAGCACCGCGGCATGCTGTTACAACGGGTAAGCGCATGAAGGCAAAGCGACGAAGGCGTGCTGTTAAAACCAGGTGGTTGCATGGTCGAACGCGAACGCGAGAGAAGACTTGCTGGTGAAACCGACAGAGACATAAATGGCAAAGCGAAGAAAGCGACGAAAGACTTGCTGTGGTTACGACACTTACTGCGTCCTCCATTGTCATTCGCCAGCCTTGCATTGACGCGGCTGCATACCGTATGCGATCGTCCTCGCCATTCTCCGACTCTTTTTCCGTTATTGGATGCGTCAAGTACGCTCCCATCCTGAAATGGATATCCTTATCCTTCTAACAGAGGGACTAGAACGCGATTCTTACAACTGAGCCATCAAGTTTGCTACGAGGCAAGGAGCCATGTATCTTAGGGACGGAAATTCGGATGGAGGATAATGTTGTCCAGTATGTTCGTCGTCAGGATAACGAGAGGCTGCTGATAACATAAGGAGCAGCGTAGGTCTAGATGAGGAGGAAGCGTAATAATGGTAGGGCCCATGTAGCCCGTGATCCGTTGCATATAAGTGCAACTTTTAGTCTCGATGTTACTGACCGTCGTTGTAACAACGACTTAGCGTGAACTACGACCGTTGGATTAAAATCCCACTTCAATCTTAAAGATCGCCAGGTCTGATATCAACAAACCAGCGTCCTCCGAACAGGGCTCAGCTTTGAGACCCCATTTAAAGCTTTGAAATTCAAGGCACCAGTCGCCACCCGCCAAGTGGCGGTAGTCAATGGGTGGTGTACGGTGACTGTGTTTTTAGAAGGGAGGAATAAGGGAGACGGATTGGCGCGGTCGCACGCAAGACGGGGAGAAAAACATTCTGAGGATGGACCGCCACGTGTGGGCAGCCACGGAAAGCTGCTCTGGACGGCGCGGGCATGCAGCACGCGTGGAGAAACTTTTTGTTGGCTGTGTTGGGTGGCCTGGCGTGTGGGGAATGCTTAGATTCGCGGGGTTGTGACGTGTACGTCGGGCACAGTAATTTGGAAATTTCTCCTCCTGAAGTCGAATTTCCAAACAGCGTATTGGACATATTTTGAGTTGGAATGCAGCTCGCTTGTCGCAGAGTGCTGTATCGAGTTTAATGTCAACAAATCCTCTCAACCCAACTTAGCTAACTAATTTAGTCGATGCTTGAAATTCCTCCTATAGCCGCGGTTCTGACTTCCAAAACTAAGAGACCAAGTATCACAGCGTGCGCAGTGTCCATCCGTCGGGGTGAAAACATAGTTATATACTGTTCCAACCCTTATTTCGGCCTGTTGGTTCCCGTGTGTGCGACATGACCACCGCTGTCGGCTGCCTAATTCCAGGCTTGCCGGACGACGTGGCACTGTCATGCTTGGCCCGAGTGCCACGTGGCCTCTATGGATCGCTCAAGCTGGTCTGCAGGAGTTGGTGCGCCGCAATCGAAGGGTCCGAGCTGTACACGTGAGATTCAGTGTCTCTGAATCTGATTAACCCACTGCACCGCGATCCTGCGTGCCACGAGGCACAACGGACCACTCAATACGCATTGTAACTCTTCGCGTAACGTCATTCAACGTCAAGTGACGTCGCGGTCTCATTCCGTGCTCGCAGCCGTCCGATCCATCCCTCTCTCTTTCCGGCTATCTTGCCTGGATTTCTCTCCATATAATCTCCTCCGCTTCTCCCCTACCCCCATCTTCCGCATCTTCCACATCTCCCGCCGACCAGGCACCGGAGTCACATCGGCGCTACCGAGAGCTGGCTGCACCTTATCCCTCCGCGCAGCCCCTCCTGGTTCGCCTACTCGCCAGGTACCTGCTCGCACGTCGGGACTTGTTTCTAGATGTCTCAGCACATAGGTGAGTCACATAGGCGCTACGGAGATCTGCCTGCATCTCATCCCTCTGCGCAGTCCCTCCTGGTTAGCTTACTCGCCTGGTGCTTGCTCCGTCCGCACAGCATCTTGCGTGCTAGTTGTTTTTGGTGTGCTTTTCTCAAGGACTCGTTCGCACCGCAAGGTGCTTTCCTTTGATTTTCTCACGGCAGTGCTGTCGCGGTGGTTCGTCCTGCCATGGCGCGGGCCGCGCTTCGTGCGGTGTGTGGAGGTGGTGGGTCGCTACCTCCTCGCGTTCGGCACCGACGATGACTCGGGGGGCTCCTACCCCTTCTGCCACGTCAATAAGGTGACGCGTCTTTGTGTAATAGCCCACAAAACTCACGGCTGAAACACGCCCTATTAGCAAACAAGATATACTAAAATGTACATAAAGAATTAAAAGGAGAAGACATGTTGTTCTTTTGTCCGCTCTCTTCTCTGCAGGTGGCCGTGTTTGACTCTTCTACGGGTGCGTGGAGCGAGGGCCCGCCTTTTCCACGTCAGCTGAAGCTGAGCGACGCGATTGGTGCGCACGGAAAGGTGGTGCTGTTCTCGTCGGTGATTGGTCGGTGCGTGTACATGGGTGTGTCATCCCGGCCTGGCGAGGTCGTTGCAATGCGACTGAGTGAAGACCTGGGGGGGGCGGAGGGGGGCGAAGAGAGGGGGGCAGAGGAGAGGGGGCAGAGGAGAGGGGCGGAAGTGGAGGGGAGAAAGGGGGTTGGAGGGTGAAGACGAATCACGACATGAATGGCTATGTGGAAGGGAACGAACAGAGTATTAGAGTGCAGGGCAGTGGTTTCGATGGCGGGATGGTAGAAGAAAGCGAGGAGGAGGTGTGGTGGGAGGCACGAGAAGCTTGGGTGGATGAGGGTGGAAAAGAGGAGGAGGAGGATGGGGAGGAGGAGGGGGTTGAGGTGGAGGTCGGGGAGGGATCTGGAGGAGGAGGGTGGGGGAAGGAGGGAGAGGGTGAGGCGAGATGTCGGGGAGAGAGGGCAGCAACCACCAAGTGGACATGGACGGAGCTGCCTTCCCCCTCCTGCCCTGCCTGGTAGGGCACTGGTGTTTCCGTCCTCCAATTCAAAGCTTTCCGCAGTGTTAACCCCACTTCATTTGAGTCACCCTGTTTAATCGTATAAAAGAACTCCGCTTCTTTTGGTTTCATTCTTCGTTGATGATATCCCCCCTGGCAGCTCTCCTTATCTCTCCTTTGCTCTCAATGGCGACTGGCATATCTTCTCAGGTGCACTCCTCCCCTCCCTAGAACCCTCCATTCTCTCCTTCCATCCGTCCACCCACTCCTGGTCCCAACCGTCCTCGCTCAAGGAAATCTACAGCAGCAGCCAAACAGCAGACATTGTAACATCCCTAGGCCTTGGGATTCCCGGTTGGAGAGCTGATCTCGCCAAGAAAATAATATCTTCGTGGAGGACCGGTGGGGGTCTTCGGCATTTAGCAGTTTTGGACGGAGGATTGGTGGTCTCTGTGGGGGGGTCTAGGTGGGGTGGACGCGGAAAGGGTGATTTGCAGGCGTGGGTGGAAGAGGAGAAGGCGTGGAGGAAATTGGCCGATTTGCCATTTGATGGAAAATGTACGCAGCTTAGAGTCCTTATCAGTATATAATTTTGCACCTTTTATTGAGCTTGCATTATGCAAAGATGTAGGGTTATATCCATATCAAATCAGTTCGATAGCTGAAAGTGCAAAGCACCCTTGCTAAATCGCCGTATCGAGAACCTTCCCGCGCGTACAATGTTCGTCTCCTCACACGCTGCAAATGTGGCGCAAAAATCCCATTTTCATCCCGCATTGGGTTAGATTCTCCCCCCGTTCTCTTTCCCCCTCCCCCGACCCCACTACAAGTTTCAACTGGACCAAATATCTGGACTGCATGTCTATTCAGCGCTGCACGTCTGCTTGTGTGCTGCGCCTAGAGTCATTCTTTCCTTACCCTGCAGCAGATTATTGGCGGTCGGGAAAACTATTTGCACCTCGAGCACGGCGCTCCGTCCCGACATAATTATCTACGTATTATCAAGGCGACGACTTGCCCTTACTGCTTAAAATGGCTTCCGCCGCTTTCCTCACCTCGGGACGGATTTCCGCGAAATTCCATCATGAGGCATTCCACCGGACTCCGTCAGCCTCCGCTCGAAGCGTAATGCCCGTCGCCACCGCGCATTCCCCGCATTCCGCGCGCTCCGCGCGCTCCGCGTGCTCTGCGGCCGCGGCGCTTTCGTCCGCAGCGTCCGTGTCTCGCGCCTCGACTCTCCTCTCGCGCGAAAGCGGCGTCCGCGCGCCGTCCTATCCCCGCGCGCCAGTTCGGCACGGCGCCTCCCGCCGTCTCGTCGTCAGCGCCAAGTACCTGGGCAAGTTCGGCTCCGCGCCTCCCGCGCCTATCGCGCCCTCCGCCGCCCCGGCCGCCGGCGCCGCCGCCAGCTCCGGCGCCGCTGCCGCCACGCGCTCTCCGCCCGCCAGCAACACGCTCCCTGCTCTCGCGCGCCAGCTTCTTCCGCTCACCGCGGCGGTCGTGATTCCGGTCGCCGCCACCGCCGCCGCGTTCGCCGCCGCGGGCTTCGGGGAACGCGACGCGGACCGGTGGTTTCGCAGCCTGGACCCCCCCTCTTTCGCGCCGCCCGATTGGCTGCTGGCCGCCACGTGGACGGTGCTGCAGCTGCCAGCTGGCGCAGCCTCGTGGATGGTTTGGCGGCAAGGCGGATGGGCGAGGCAGCGCGGCGCGATGGAGATCTACTTGGTGCAACTAGCCGTTGGGCTGCTGTGGCCAATCGTCATGTTCCGCCTAAAGAAAATCGACGCTGCTGCTGCGGTTGCGGGTAAGTGGGGGGGCCTGGTGATAAGGGGCGAGAGGTAAGAAAGTCACAGGTTTGGTGCAACTAGCCGTTGGGTTGGGCTGCTGTGGCCAATCGTCTTGTTCCGCCTGAAGAAGATCGACGCGGCGGCTGCAGTTGCTGGTAAGGGAGGGCGGAAGCAGGTAACGGAAAGAAGTGCAGCATGATTCAGGTTTTGCAAGTTTATGCCCTTGGGAAAAGAAAGTATGGAACTGTAAAAGGCCACTTTCCAGGATTCCGAGTGTCATGTTCAGAATTCCTACCGAGGAGAGGGGCAGGTAAGGCCAGTCGCAATTAAGGCGAGTCGCAGGCAAGGCACCAGCGTGAATTTTAAACAGGATATACCGTAAGCGCCAATCAAAGTGGTAGTTGTATCTCAATGTGCATTTTTCCTCCATTCATCTCCTTCACCTCTGCTCAGTTTATCCCTCACCTCTCAGTTTATCGCCGCTCCAATTCCTCTCCCCTCGCCTTTCTTTCGCCTCTCCCTCTCTTCTTGCCTTCCTCTACCGTTTCCCGTCGTCATGTCTTTTTTCCCTTGTCATGCCCCCCCTCCCTCCTCTCCCCTCCCTCTCCTCTCCCCCCCCCTCTCCCCAGGTGCCCTCACCATCTCCTCCCCCTCCACCTTTCTTGCCTTCTACCGAGCCTCGCCCGTTGCCTCCCTGCTTTACTTCGCGATGCTCGTCTGGCTCGGCCTTATCTCCGCCATCACCTACTCCGTCTGGACCAATCACATGGGACGATGTGTGGGTGACTGTTATCAGGGTTTGGAATGACCACACTGGGACGATGTGCTAGAGACTGTTAGAAAAATATGGAAAATTTTCAACTGACAATGTGCCGTCTGTCTGTCCTTCCCTCCCTCCCTCCCCTCCCTTTCTCCCCCAGGTGCCCTCACCATCTCCTCCCTCTCCACCTTCCTTGCCTTTTACCGAGCCTCGCCCGTCGCCTCCCTCCTTTACTTCCCGATGCTCGTCTGGCTCGGCCTTATCTCCGCAATCACCTACTCCATCTGGACCAATCACAGCGTGCTCCTCGACAAGCTACAGTGGGATGATGTGCAGGCAACTGCTAAGAAGATCTGGAGGGATATCCGGGGGCTTACTGGGAGTGGTGGCAGCGGTGGTAGTAGTGCGAGCAGCGGCAGTGGTGGTGCGGGAAGTGGATGGGGCGCAGGGGGGTGGGAGGGAGGGGAGGAGGGGAGTGCGTTTGGGTGGTCTGCTGCTCCCAGCAACCAGAACAACCGCCGTGATTGATTGTGCTGTTTTGATCCTCTTCTCTTCTGATCACATTGTTTGTGTCGGTCAACTGACAAATGGCTTGTTTTGTGTAGTATAAATTCACAATCTGCTAGGCAGTGTAGGGTTTGGACAGGGCATGGTAGTCCTGCACCAGAGGAGCGAGGGTATTGCTGGGTGTCAGAATGAGGAATGGATGATGCATTGATGTTGGTTGGGGTACATATAGCTAACCCTAAGTTTTGTACCCCTTAAGACAAACCTCACTATAGGCTACAACATTTGACACACCCCCATAGCCTAAGTGAGGGGTGTCTAGCAGAACCAAACGAGTACGGTCACAAGACCAGTCCAAGAAACGAAGCTCAGGGTGGATCACAACGTCACCACACAGTCTGAGCACAAACAACAGTGGCCACAAGGCCAGTCCAAGAAGTAACAGAGGTATATAGAAAGCAAAGTAAACAGTACACTCAAGCCTAAGCAACACGAGAACCAGTGTCAACAAGGCCTAACTGCACACAGCACCTCTGGTGGTCACAAGGCGGAAGCGCCTTGGTGAAGATGTCTGCAGTGTTGGCCTCGGACTCCACAAACTCAAAGCGAGCCTGTCCACGCCTCTGCAACTCTCGCAGAAGAAAGTACCTGACGTGAATGTGCTTCACTCTGCTCTCCAGTCGTGGCTCTCGACAAAGGAGAATAGACGCCTTGTTGTCAGTGAACAAGGTCGGTGCAGAGCTCGGCCGCTCACCAAGGTCGGTGAGCAAGAAGGTCAACCAACGCAGCTCCTGTGCCGCCATGGCACCAGCGTAGATCTCAGCCTCAGCTGTAGAGGTCGAGACCGAAGAGGAGCGCGTGGACCGCCAGGAAACAGCTCCAGAACCCAGGCTGAAACAGTACCCCTGAGTAGACCTGTGAGTCTCAGCGTCGTCAGCGTAAGAGGAGTCACAGTGACCAGTAAGTACGACAGACTGCTGCCCTCCAAGAACTAGCCCCACGCCTGACGTCGTCGCTAGGTACTTCGCCACCCTCACAGCTGCTGTCCAGTGAACAGGACGGTGTCTCCCTGGCACAACAAAGCGCGCAAGAACGCTGAGAGGGAAGGCGAGGTCCGGGCGAGTACAAGTCATCAGGTACATGAGGCAACCCACAAGCTCTGCGTAGGGACCACTAGGCTCGAACGGCTCGTCAGGAAAGGGTCCAGTGAGTCTGTGGTCAACAGCAAGAGGTGTGCGCTGTACTGTGGAGTGCTGAAGCCCGAACCGCTGAAGGACCTGCTGCACCATGTGCGACTGTGAAAGTGTAATGGTGCGAGCAGCTCTGTCCCTGGTGATCTGCAGGCCAAGGTAGTGGCGCAGCTCACCAAGATCAGTGCAGGTGTGTCTCTTCTGCAGTTCGGACTTCACGTGTGCCAAAGCAACCCTGTCAGGGGTGGCGAAAACAAGGTCGTCAACGTAGACCAGAACAAAGAAAGGTGTGGGGCCACGACGAACGAACAGCGACGGGTCAGCAGAAGACGGCTGGAACCCAAGGTCAGACAGGGTAGAACGCAGGGTGTCGTGCCACTCACGAGGAGCCTGACGAAGACCGTAAACCGGTCGCCTCAGCCTCCACTGGGTCCCAGGAGGGAAAGAGCCAGTGAAGGCAGAGGGACGACGCAACCAGACCTCCTCGTGAAGACTGCCCTGAAGGAAAGCAGTAGAGAAGTCGAGAGAGTGTAACTCGTAGTCTCTCTGTGCTGCTACGTGTAGTAACACCCGAAGAGTGGTCATCTTCGGGGTGGGCGCGAAGGTCTGAAAGAAGTCAACTCCCTCGCGCTGACTGAAACCTCTAGCCACGTAGCGCGCCTTGAAGACCGGAGGAGATCCCGGTGGCCGCTTCACCCTGTAGATCCACATGCCGTCGACTACGTTCGCCCCCGGAGGGGGAACCTCATCGACGTAGGTGCCTGTGGATCTGTAGGAGGCCATCTCTGCGTCCATGGCAGCTCTCCACTGAGAGGCCCAAGGCTCTGACACTGCCTCAGCGTAAGTGCGAGGAGTCGGAATGTCAAGGGCGTCGGGGTCACCCTCAGGGGCGAGGAGCATGGCACAGAGATGAGGGGAAGCGGCCGCCAGGAACTCTAGCTCAAACTGCCTGTCCTCTAGGGCGTCACAGCCAAGGGCAGACACACCCCCGACGGCCAGAGGACTGGAAGGAGGAGCTGCCACAAGAGCGGTGGCGAAGTCAAGGCGGCGGGTAGAGGCAAACTCAGTGACTGCGGCAGTAAGAGCGGACACAGAGGACACAGAGGCACGAGGGTGGGTAACAAGAGAGGCGAGAACACGAGAGAGAACAGGACGGTACGTGCGGTAGTAGTCAGTGACAGGAGAAGGAAGCGACACAGTGAGGGCCGACTCAGGAGGAGACGGAAGCACAGACGGAGACGGACGAGGTGGACGAGAACAAAGGAAGGCTGTACGAAGGTCAGTGAAGGGAACAGGAGATGAGGGACGAGCACGAGGGGAGCGACGAGAGGCCCAAGTCTGAGAAGGAGGAGGAGACAACGAAGACTGAGAACGAGGGAAAACAGCGGGAGAGGGGTCAGGAGGAGGAAGCGGAGGACCAGAGACGGGAGGAGAGGGGGAGGAGGAAGGAGAGGGAGACGGGAGACCAAGGGTCCGAAGACCCGAGACAGGAGGAGGAGACGGCAGCAGCTGCTGCTGCTGCTGCTGCGGCTGCTGTGGCTGCTGCTGCTCCAGCGGCTGCTGCCTCTGCTGCTGCTCCTGCTGCTGCTCCTGCTGCTGTCGCTCCTGCTCCTCGAGCCGCTGCAACTCTCTCTCCTCTCTCTCCAACTCCAGCTGCTCCTCACGAGCACGGCGAACACGAGCCTGGAACCTGGTCGGGTAGGGGTGGGGGGAAGGAGTAGTGTCCGGGGCAGCGGCAGCCCCAGAGTCGACCTCCGAAGCACCAAGCACACCACCCCCAGAGGCAGCACCAACACCAGCTCCAGACCCAGGCTCTCCAGAAACCGAAGGGACACCCTCACCCCCAGACGCAGCACCCCCAGACTCCGCACCAGCACCCCCAGACTCCGCACGACCAGTACCAGCCCCCGGAAGACAAGAGTCCTCTGCAACCCGCGGCTCAGCTCCAACTCCAGCACCCCCAGAACCAGAGACCTGTACAGGGACAGTCGCAGGACCAACCTCCCGAGAGGGAGCACCTGCAGGAGGCGGCGAGGAAGACTGTGGGGAGGGAGGCTGTACAGGGGGGGCTACCGAAGGGGGAGGGCTGGCCTGAGACACACCAGACGGGGCTGGACCAGGGGGGGGAGGCTGTACCGGGGGAGCAGGCGGGGGAGCGGCTGTCAGGAAGAGGGGGGGAGGAGGAACCGGGAGACCTCGACTGGGGTACCTGACGTAGTACGGGGTGGACTCCTCGAAACGGACGTCACGGGAGTCAAAGAACCGGTGAGAGGGAGGGTGGTAAAAGGTGAAGTCAGAGGAGTCCTCAGGGAAACCAAGGAAGACACAAGGAACAGCGCGAGGCGAGAGCTTGTCCGCGGAGGTGTCGCGGACAAGAGCCAAGCACCCCCAGACACGAAACCTCGACGCGACACCAGGGGACCCTGTCCAAAGACTGGTCGGTGAAGCCTCCGGCCGAGAGACGCGTGGCCAGAGGTTCAGCTGGTGCGCGGCGTACCTGACTGCGTATGGCCACAGGAAATGGGGGGCACGGGCGTGAGTCAAGGAGGTGCGGGCAATCTCCATGACCAGGCCTATGCGACGCTCAGCAACCCCATTCTGCTGTGGGGACTCCGGAAGCGTCCAGGACTGACGAATGCCCTGTTCGCGACAGAATCCAGCGAGAATGCCGGAGCGAAACTCGCCCCCGCGGTCGGAGTGGAGACAGCTGACACGACGACCACGAGTGTCCTGGGTGGTAAGCAACCACCTGATCAGCGTAGAAGTCACCTCAGACTTCCTCGCCAGGGGGAACACTGTGGTATAGCGGGAGTAGTCGTCAACGACCACCAAAAAGAAACGCTCACGCTCAGGGCCAGGGCAAGGAGAGGGGCCCCAGACGTCCAAGTGCAGCGTCTCAAAAGGCTCGGTGGCCGGACGAAGGGAGGAGGAGTGAGGGGTGGCACGCAGCCTACCCTCGACGCAAGGACCGCACGGTGGTGCAAGGGACGGCGGCAGCGACGGCAAGACACGCGGGAGACCTAAGACCAGACGCTGACTAGACATAGCACGCAGACGTGGAAGAGAAGGGTGTCCCATCCGGTGGTGCCACAGAACGGTGGGGTGGGCAAGCGACCGACAGGAGCAAGACGCAGCGACTGGACTGGACGCGACAACCTGAGGGGACGGAACCACCTGGTGAGACGCAGGGAGGAGACTAGGGGGAGGGACAGGAACTGGGAGGAGTGGCTGCTGCGACGGCGGCCGCTGTGGCTGCGGCTGCTGCTGCTGCCGCTGCTGAGGCTGCTGCTGCTGCTGCTGCAGTCGCTGCTGAGCGCGCGGGCCAGTGTGAAGAGTGTAGAGACCGGAGCCCGGCTCAGCAGCAAAAGTGGCGAGAGGCTGGTAAGAGTCCCCGTCAACACACACCGCAGTCTCTCCAGAAGGCTCAAACCACACACCCACGTGCTGACTCACAAGGGGTCGCACGCCCACCAAGTTCCGGGAGAACGAGGGGACGTGAAACCCAGTGAGAGACCCAGAAGGAGCAGCCGGACACGGCAAGGTGGTAGTGTGACGCGCGGTGACTGGTCCCGAAGTGGGATCAGCCAGCGCCACAGAAACAGGCGCAGGAAGAGGCGTAAGTGTCGTGCTGTCACGAAAGAAGCAGTGAGAGGCTCCAGAGTCCAGCGTGAACGACAGCGAACCGTCCTCTGAGGTAGCCGCTGGACTAGAGTCTACACAAGAACCTACACTAGCAACAGGCAACTGAGCAAGGCTAGCACCTAAGCTAACAACACCAGAGTAAGCAGAGTCAGAAACACTAGAGTCAACAACAGCATACATAGCATGAGG